CGGAGAGCTCAGCGATGGAGACGGTAGCGACGGAGCCAGAGCTGACGACACCTACCAAGCCTGATCCAGATGGCGAGTCGGAGTCCCGACTAGAGCCCCCGCCGGTGGAGGACGAGCCAGAGTCGATGCCGAGCAGCCCGGTGATCTCCCGCGGCCGGTCTCGGTCACGCTCCGGGTCGGCACCCAGAGGGCTGCGGAGACACTCGCCGGCACTCCTCACCGCGGCTGGTACCGGACTGGGCACCCCGGCTCGTGCTCCTCAGCGAACTCCGGGCCGTAGTCCCCCGCGAACTCCGTCCCGCAGTCCGGGTAGAGACGCTCACCAGACGCCGACCACGACCTCTCCGCGGCGACAACAGACTCACACTCCACCACGGAATCGGGATGAGACGCCTGCGCCTAACCAAACTGAGACGCCTCCGCGGCCTGAGGTCCGAACCCCGCCACCAACGGAGCCTCGAACCCCACCACGGACTCCCCAGCGGACACCGCCTCGCCCCGGCGATGGCTCGCCCCACAAGTCGCCCGTGGTTAAACCCGACCTACAGACTGGGGCCGAGCTGGTACTCCGTTCGCCTGCCAAGGACGCGCCGTCGCCCCGCAAACGATCGGTGTCTCCCGACATAGGTCCGGCTGGGGACGGTCTGGGCGCCGCACTGCTCGCTCGGTTCGGGCCCCCGGTGGGCGCCACGTCCACACCTACCATCGCACCAACACGGGTCGGAGCTGTGGCGGCGCCATGGGAGAACACCTCGCACTTCTCCCCGCCCAGAATGGCCACCGACTCGGGAGAGGAGTCACCAGTCAAGATTGACATCACCGGTATACTCGATCTGCTCGACGAGCCGATAGAATCGCCTACTTCGGCCATGTCTACAGCAGAGTTCGTGTCTGTGATGGAGTCGTACCTGGAGAACACGGCTGAGTCGACTATGCATTCGGTGCCGGATCTCTGTTTGACGGATATTGCTGAGCTGGAGGCGGCTGCCGAGGGTATCGATTTCGGAGCGTTGGCGGGACAGGAGGAGCCGGCATTGATGGCTGAGACGAGCGCAGCGCCACCGGCTGATTCGTTGGCACAAGGAGTGGCAGAGACAGCCATGGAGACAGCAGCGACTGAAGCGGCGGCGTCTGAGGCGGCAGAGACGGTGATACAATCGGACCCTCGCGTGCGGCCGTGCTATGTGCTGCTGAGCCCACTGCAGTGGCCGACGTCTGCAGCTGCCCGCCCCGGCCCCCGCCGGACCTCCAAGCCGCAGTCTCGGGCCCTGCGGTACTCTCGGAGTCGGGCTCTGCGACACAGCCTGTCAGAGGTGCTGGCCGCCCGGGCGGCGCCGCTGTACGAACACGGAGCTGACGTTCAGGTGCGCCGGTCTGCAAGCGCCGGCGACCAGTGGGTGTTGTCAGAGAGCACAGCAGCCGTTCAGGGAGAGAGCTTTGAGAGCAGTCGCCTCGGTGACACAGTGAGTGATGCCACCCGAAACCAGACGAGTCTCGGCGTCAGGGAGTCGGGAGAGTCATTTGTGGCGTCTTCCACGGGCGGAAACAACAACTCAGGGTCCAGAGGTGGTATCGGGCATAGTCTCGGTTTGATCAGTATCATGACTGACAGCGTATGGAACAGCACAGCTTCTAGTGGAGTCGGCCTGGCGGATTCTGATGCCCGGCTGGCGGCCAATCTTAGCTGCCAGTCAAGAGGTGGGTTTGAACAGTCGGAGCGGGTTGACGGTGAACTGAATCATCTCTCGCTGTCGGGCGCACGGGACGGCCCGACGGCGGACGCAGCTCTACTAGCTGAGTGTCAGTCAGCAGAGGTGCCCGAGCGGTCAGACCGATCTACAGCGTCCAGGACCGCCTCTGAGAACGAAACCACGAGCTCTACGTCCTCACCGGAGCGGCCGCGCCGGAGGAAGAAGAGGGCCCGCTCTGAGGTGTCCTCCTCGGGTCCTCAGACGGAGGACTCGCAGCGGGAGGACGGGGAGGACACACAGAGGGGCGTCAGGCAGCTGCGGAGTGGTCGGGCTCTGCCAGAGGACACTACGTCGCCATCGGGAAGTCACGGTGGCGGCTCGTTGGCGGGTGGAGACGAGACTAAGCGAGGTGCCGGTGCTGCCAGGACGTCGGCGGACGTTGCGAGGACTTACTCACGGCGTAAGGTCGGGCGAAGAAGGAAGCGCGCTCGTCTGAGTGGCTCACAACTCACGTCCGACGCGGCCCGGTCGGCGGATTCTGAGCTTGTCGGGGAGGAGGGCAACCACATGGAAAAGCCCACAGCGTCTCGGCTAGTCAGTGAGTCGAACGAGGACAGCCGCACCTCGTCCGATACCGGCCGGCTGCCTGCCACGCCACTCCCTGAGACCCCCATCCCCCGACGTAATGGTTCTCTGATCAATGTCACCCCTTCTAAAGAACCAACGGATATGTGGCAAGTGACCGCCCTCAGTGCGCGAAAATTGTCCCCCAATTCGAATAGGGACAGTCCTTCGATCAGGATGAGGTTCCGGCTGACAGCCTCATCAGTATCGTCAACGGCGAGCCAGAGCCCGTCCCGCTTCAAGTGTCTTGATTCCCCGGATTCAGGCCAAGAAGACAGCGATGCTGTTTTTGTAAACGAACGGGACGGGATTTCTTCGAGCGATGAACGCATGTGGTCTGCAAGTCCCAACGCAAGTCAGTCTACTCCGTCACAGTCCAAACGCGCAACAAGACTCTCACATAGCCCCGTGTCAAGGTCACAACCCCACAACCGTTCGAAGAAAATCAAGAAGCGTGTTTTCGAGCCACGGCCCGCCGACTCTGGTTCAAACGTGGAACACAACTCTCGCCTGTCAAACCCAGCCAGCGAGCTGGGCCAAGATGAGGCGGCCACTCGCGTCAAGCCAACCGCAGGGCCATCGCGTCGCCGCGGTAAATTGAAGAAGTCGCGGTCTGCGGCGACCTCGGCCGGAGCAGGATCTGCGTCCCGAACGGGGTCGACTGAGGAGGCGGACGGTGCTACGGAGGGTGGGGGGCGTCGACGGAGCGATGGAGTGTCGAGGGGCGATGAGGCCGCCGAGCTGGCGGCTCGTCTGGAACTGGTGAGGCAGCAGACTTTGAGAGATCTCCGACGACCGGGTGGTCGAGAGTCCCCTGACGGAGAGCGGAGTCGAGAGCGGAGGGTGGAGGGCACTCCGGAGTCGAACCGTCAGGTTGGCAGGGAGTCGGGAAACGCGACTCCGCTAATCAAGGACATCCCCGAGCTGGCCGGAATGGCGGCGTCGCAGTCGCTCACGCCGGTGTCGGCAAAACGGAAACGGCTGACGCTGTGCGATTCTGATGACGAATCGAGCGACGGTCCGCCACTAGAATTGAAGATCGAGCGTCATGACTCGCAGACGAGAAAAAGGCCGAATGACGACGAATCAAGCGACGGACCGCCGCTTGAACTGAAGATCGAGCGACACGACTCGCAGACGAGGAAATGGCCGAAAGAGGAGCTGGTAGAATCGTTCCCGGATGGCCTCAAGATCAAGAAAAGGCCGAGATACACAGTCACTTCGGCTCGGCTGAAACTGCGAGGCACGCCGACAACTAACGGAGAAGAACGGGCATTGACTGTTTTGGAAAACAAGATGACGGAAAACCATCTTATCGCTGGAGACAGTCGTGATGAAACAAAGAGGAAAAAGAAAAGTAAGCGGCCGGAGCCGCTCGCCCTGCCGGCCGGTGCGGAGACTGTCGCTACCGACGGGTCCGCGTCGTCGCCTTCGCTGACGCCGTCGACGCGCGGCAAGAGGAAGGAGGTGAGCTACGCCGAGTTCTCCGAGGACGACGAGGCCGTGTTCCAGCTGATGGGGGAGGCCAGGGTCTCCCCACCGGAGGAGCCGAGTGAGGGACACTCCCGCGGTGTGATACGGTCTCGGCGAGACGGCCAGGCGTCCCACGCCTCCCATACCTCCGCCGCGGCGGCGGCGGGCGCGCCGGCAGAACACCCAGCGGACCTGCCAGCTCCCGTCCAGCCGTCTCGGTGGCAGCCGCCCCTGCCGTCCTCACTGCCGCTGCGTACTCCGCCGCGGCAGCGCCTCACACGGAACCGGGTCCAGGACATGGGCCTGGGTCTGGACGAGGTGAACGCCCTGGTGGTGAGCCCGCTGACGCCGCTGGCGAGCCGGGCTGCCGGCTCGAGCAGTAAGAAAACCTTCACCCCGCCGACGGCGCTCAGTCTGATTAACCTGACCTCGTCGCCGATTATGGCGCAGGTGCGGCCGGCGAAGCGCGTGCGCCGGGCGCTGCACCACTGACCTGAGGTCACGGGGAGGGGGGCTGACGTGGTCGGATGATGGTTCGCGTAGGACCTGAGGCCTCTGGACTTTCAGGTGGGGTGTTCGCGGCGTGTCGGGGTACCATAGAATGCATGTGTCATGACGTTAGGCGTTGGCTTCCACCCATTCATTTCTTATAACTATAGGGCAATGAAGCGAACTGAATAGGTTTTGGGAGATAGAAATCTTTTTTTGTGGACTGCTCAAATGGTTATCTTCGGAAATTAGTTGAAAAGTATGATTCTGTTTCAGGCTGTATCTAATGAGTTGCTTTGTTATGCATTGCTATTATCCGTCTTCTTTCGTAATAGCCTTGAGATCGTGCGTCGCTGGGTCGCATCAGTACTTTGCACGCCGGCCCTGCCGCGTGCGTAAGTGTTAGCCGCCTCAAGCTGCCAAAGTGAGCTGTTTGCCCCGTTCTAGGCGGTCTGCGCGGCCGTGCAGTGATGATCCAGTAGCTTAGGATGTTTATAGAGTGCGTTGACATGTGGTGACGACCGGTAGTTTTCTATGCGTGTGTACGGAGGAAGCCAAATACATTATCAGTTTCAAGTTATCTTTGCGGTACGTTGGGAAATGCTCTCGTGTGAGAATGCGATATACCCAAGATCGTCACTCCCATTTATTAGTCCGTGGACCAACTCCTGAATGAATGATCTCAACTCCTGATCTCGATCTCCAACTCCTGAACTGTGCGGCCAATCCTCCAGCTCATATATTCGCTCATGTCTCCACCGCGGCGGCATTCCATATCACACATATCCGGGATGCCCTTCCACATAAATAACAATGCATATCTGAGTATAACAACAGCGGCGCCGCCGCTCCAGCCAGCAGCGACGCCGCACCGCGGGCGAGATCGTCTCAGATGCAGTCCCTAGTCGCTGATAGTCGCGTGCGTCCACTCGCTCCCACACACACATACACACACGGCGCGAGGCAGGCGCCATCTCGGCCACACAAGTCATGGCGCACGTGGCAAGACTCGCATTAATCACAGAACGCTTGCCATCATTCGTCACACGCCGCTACAAGTTTCAGTCGCCAGCGCCGGGCGACCGATACGCCGGCCGCCAAGGCACGGGTTACAAGGATAACGCACAGGAACAAAACAACATTGTCTCACTATCACGGTATTTGCTGCCGGTGCGTCACAGTTCGTTATGCCCGCGCCGGCCGGGCGGGCGTTACGCGGCGGAGGAGCACTGTCTCTCGTCGCTGCCGTCAGCGCAGTCCACCACGCCGTCACAGACGCTGTCCCGCTTCAGACAGCGGCCCAGCGGACACCTGGGTGGGAGCAGGGGGCGTCAGTCAGTGCACGAAGCTCGAAACAGTACACTTTGAGACGACAGACTGCGTTTCGGGGCGACACAATCGGGAATGCAGGTTGAAGTAATGATTAAGTCCAGTTTTCTGAACTTAGCAGCGCTAGGTGCCGAGCTGTTAACCCTCGCCCGTATTGGTGTTTTTCCAGCCGCGAACGTATAAGGGGGGGTCCGTTGGACCCCCCCCCTTGCCGTTTCGCCCCTGATCGAGCTAGAGCTTCGCGGTAAAAACGAGCGTGTTGCCCGTGACGAGAGGAAGCCGATGATACCTAATTTTAAGGTCCTAGGTCATTGGTTGACCTTGCAGGTCAGGTCAATGACCCAAAAGTCGGGAAAATCGGGACCTGTTAGAAGGTCGTAAAGTGTGGCTGTTATGGGTTTTTCGGGGCGCTGATCACGAATATCATGTTAGTTTTGATCACAGATAATGTCTTTATGCATTTAGTCCAGGTCGGGTCAGGTCAGGTCAGGTCAACCAGTAGGGGTCCTGCCGGGTATTCCTAGTAGGTGTCAACCACCTCTGACAGCTTCGTAACATGTTACGAAGGCACCAAAACTACTTCGTAAATGTTCATATGGTTGCTAAATTCGAATTCAGCTCCAAAAACTGGCCTAGAAACATGTAAAACTTGAAAAAGTGAACCGAGGTCACCAAAGGTCAATGACCTGACCTGACCTTCAGGTGACCTTAACACCCACCCTAATGCATGGGGGCAACATCATATCACATGTTTGAACGCTTGAAACCACGAAAAGACAGCAAACGCGCGGCTAATGCGAGCCGACATACGCCGAATCGCGATTCTGGCCAAACATGGTCTCGAAAAGTAGGTCACAGGTCAAAGGTCATTGGGGTCAGGGTCATTAAATTTGCAGGGTAGGTGTAAAATTGATTAACGCGAGGGTACTGAAAGTTTCGTCGCGATCGGCCGCTTTTTACGCGAGTTATTCGCGAAAAACCATGGGGGGGTCCGTTCGACCCCCCCCCCCCCTATACGGGCGAGGGTTAACGTGCGAGGGTTAATTCCCATTTGGACCTACGGCCGTTTACATGAAGCGCAAGCAAATGAATTGAGTCACGTTTATCATATTCCATCGTGCAGTTGTGGCTGAGAAGTCACTTATACCTTACGTGGCGGCGAAAGACAGCGCAATCCCGACCGGCTAGAACGGGGCGCTTTTCACCACGTGAGGTGGCTGGCTGTAGGTAGCCGGGGGAGCTGGACTAACGCGCATCACTACACCAGCCGAGACCGCGCGGACATTCGGCCGGCGCGGCTGGTGTAGCTGGTGCTGGTGGAACTGGTGATACTGCTGGTGCTGCTGCTCCGTCAGTTTCTCTACTATCGGCAGTGACTCCGCCTCGTGTTCTGCCTGGACGCGCCGCCGGTGCCGCCGGAGTCTCTCCGCCGCCGCTCTCAGCAGCGCCGCCGAGCACTCAACCACCATCAGTACCACCTCACCCAGACTGAGCAGACTCATACCCAGACAGAGGCCGGCCACGCCGCCCAGGTCACGAGCCCACTCCAGCACACCCGGCACGACAGCTATGAAACGCGTGAACGTGATCTGGGTGAAGTACACGTAGACGGTGGTGTGGTTTGTATCGGGCCGCGGCTCCTTGCTGGCGTACACGCGCACATCATCGGCGACGCACGGCTGGGCGCACGGCAGCTGGCCGGAGGAGACGTTTACGACAAGCTCTGCAACCAGTCTGCCGCAGCAGGTCAGGGTCTGCAGCGGGGAGCAGATCGGTAGGGAGCGATCTTCCGGCTCCTCGTTGGATGGCGGAGACGTGGCGGCTGTGCCGGCCGTATCGGCCGTGGCATGGAACGGATCAGCCAGTCTGTTCGGGTGGGGCGCCGGCGGCCAGTCGAGCCCCAGATGCCGGCAGCCGCAGTGGTGCCGGTACAACTGCCGGAGGGCGTGCACGGTACAACTGTCGGCGCCGGCCACAGGCACGGGACTGCCGCCCGGCGCCTCCCGCGGCACGGCCACGCAGTCGGGCCGGCCGCCGAGCAGCGAGGTGCGCTCGGCGGTCAGGTCGTGTTCCTCCTTCCACACCTCCAGCTGGACGTGCCGTCCGCGCTCGGCACCCACGCCACCCTTGGCCGTCAGCAGACTGGGCGGCGTGTAGTGGTTGGTGACCACGAGCCGCGCGCCCGGTACGCCGTGGTACCGGTTGATCAGACCGCTGCCGGCGATATCCGCCCGCTCCGACTCCGCCAGAGGCGTCAGTTTCAGCGTCAGGCCAAAGTAGACGCCGCCGAAACTCTGGCGGATGTCCACGTCGTAGCTGGTCCAGCAGCGGCCCAGCATGGTGTACACGGGCCTCAGCAGGCGTCTGCAGCACTCTGAGCCGTTCAGGATGCGCACCGGGCCGTTACCGCACTCCAGCACCAGACTCTCACAGTCGGGCGAGAGCGCGTCGAACACGGCCTGAATGCCGAGCCCCGTGCGGTTCAGCAGCTGCTGGTACTGCTCCTCCAGCAGCGGCACCGGTCCGACCGAGTTGCCGTCACCGATTGTCCCCACCACGCCGCCCACCGTGTTGGCCACATAGCCGGCCAGCTCGGGGCCGACGCCGAGCCGCCGGGCCGCGCTGCCACTGAACACTCCGGCGTCACACACGGTGACGGCGGGCACCGGCAGGCTGCGAGGGCTCACCAGCTGCACTGCCGACGAGGCGCGCCGCTCGACCAGCACGATCGACGTCAGGGACACAGTGGCTTTGACCAGCAGACCGGCGCAGCAGAGGGTGAGGGTCGTCCAGAGCAGCCGGTGCCACCGACCGCCGCGGCGCAGCTGCGCTAGACCGTGGATGGTGCTGTGCTCAAGGAACTCGTACAGCGTCTGCTGAGGACCGTCCTGGAAAGGCGGCCGGCGGGCGGGGGCGTCTCGGGTCGCCGCGGCGGGGGTTAGAATCATGACTGGATCAGCGCTACGATCTGTGAGACCCACGGAGTGTGCAGAGGTGCCCTCCGCCTCACTCTAGGTCGGACGGACCCTGCGGACACCACTGGTGCTGAGCGAAGCTAGGAACACCGACTCCCAACTGGATCCAAGCGCGCACCGCTCAAACCTCCCGTGCGACCTTTGGGTATTTGCTCGTGTCTGTGAACTTTTGCGGTGACCGATGCGTTTTAGTTGCCGCCTTGGCGCTGGACATCGTCTCAATAATGGCGGCGTCGCGGTCCATCGGAGGCGTGTCCCGTGTGGCGGCCGCGCCGCTACGCTCTACATCGCTAAACAAACCTTCCTTTCATCGGAGACTCCGGGTTGTGACGGGCCGATCAAAGACTGCACCAACGCGCCCCGCGTGCCGAACGGCAGGGGAGCGTTTGAGGGGGAGAGGGCACCCTAGCGGTCCGCACCGTCCTATTGACTGGTATGCTATTGGTGTTCTGTGTTGACTTGACCGAGAAAGATATTAGATGGTCATATGTTCATCAGTGTTGGCGATAATTTTCCTCAAGAAAAGCAGCACTAGAAAATTTACCAAACAAAGCAGACAATGTACGTTGTAGTGTAAACATTTCTTTCTGTTGTAACTTGCGCATTAATTGATGGTCTGACATTTCGGAAATATTGATCACCTGATGTTTACTACCATATTTATCGGTTTGACACGGCAAAATGAGACGATCAGTCGTGGTAAAAAATTCGGCTACGGCAGGGCAACACAGACAGTATACAAACGGCTAAAATAGCTCACTGGCGGTCGCAGGGGGGGGGGGGCCACGGGGGCCATGGCCCCCCCTTTGGTGCTGAAAGGTGGGGCCATACTATCTTTTGGCCCCACCTTTCAGATCGAACAAAAGTCCTAGAAAAGCTTTTCGTATGTTTCATTTTCTTTCTTGCGCCATCAAAGGACGTAAATTTCACTCATAAGTGGGCTCAGTTTCGCATTCTGTCAATTTGGCGGTCAGCGTCGCTGGCACCGGTTCACGAGTATGGCCGGATCTTATATGGAATATCAGCGTGGGTTTACTTGAGGCTCTCGTAGGCCCAGCATTCAGCAATGGCTGGCATGAGACCCTCTTCGGCAGTGGCGGGTGGGCCCTGCTAAAGGAGATTGGCTCCAAGACACTAAAGTAAGACCTCATGGGTTGGTGCTGTGCACCTCAGAAGCCCGGTGGTGACGCCGTATGCCGGCTTGGTTTCTTAAGGATTAGCGTGGGACCTCCGGGGCCTGCATAGAGTTTGCATGAGCTAGTATGTAATCTCAGAGGCATGTGTGTAATGTGTACACAGTGGCGGTCGCGGGGGCCGGGGGGGGGGGGGCATCAGGGCCATGCCCCCAAAGGTCAATAAAGGGGGCCATCATATCATTTGCCCCCCCCCCCTCAAACAACCAATGGGCCCCCATATAAGTGTATGGGGCCCTGGCAATTATTCGATCGTCACGAGGCTAAAAAAAACCACGCCCAGCTATTAATATAGCTCCCACACCGGTCTTTGAACGTCCTACACTGACCTCTGAGGGAACTTCAGTGGCGGTCAAGCGCCCACGTTGACCGCTAAGAGCCTACATCAACCTCTCTGAGGCCCCACATCTGGCCTATGAGGGCCCCTAACCGGCCTCAGGGGTCCCAACCGGCGTCTGAGGGTCTCACACCGGTCTCTGGTGGCCTTATTTCTGTCTCTGGTGTCCCAAGACGAACATTTAGGTGCCAATAAGGGCCCCGCACTGGCTGCTGAAGACCCGATGCCGGTCTCTAAGGGTCTGCATTGGCCTCTGAGGAGGGCCCATCTTGGCCTTTGAGGGCCCTCTGCTGGCCTCTGGGGTCCAACGACGGCTCATGCCGGTCTTTTAGGGCCCTACGTTGACCTCTGAGGGCCCATGCTGGCCTGTAATGAGTAAGGACCCACATTAGCCTCTGAGAGCCCAACTCGGTCTCTGATGGTCTCAAACTACTGGCCTTTGTAGTTTGCAGGCCCTGTACTGGTCTCTGAGGGCCCTAAACTAGCCTCTACATGAAAACATACATGGGCGGGTTTCTGAAGATCAGAGGGCTCACGCAGTCTCCGGCACAGCCTTACGTTGGTCCTGATCGAGATTGCTTTACGTTCTGATGGTCCCGCGCTGATTCCCTCATATTTCGAGGTCGGGACCCCATGAGCCGGTGTGGGTCCTGGGGCTGGCAGAGACTGATGAAGTCATTAGGGCTCAGGGCCAGTCTTTTTAGCAGTAGGACTAGGCAGGTTGAGTGAGCCCCAACAGAGCCGTTGCGAAGCCCCGCAGGAGTCGCGCGCGGCCCTCAGATGCCAATTCTGAAAGCTCGGAACCTGTGGGGGTCTCCAGAGGCCGGTGTATGTACCTACTCTCTCCCGCCGCCACACAACTAGGTACCTATATGGGTAAATGTCATAGTCTAAAAATGCTCTCTGGGTTTCACATGCTTGTTCAAAGCAAGAGGTATCTGTACTTTTTAGCAAGATGTATCTGTACTTTTCCGAATTGTTTTATAGTGGTAAGGTCATGAATCCGCGTGCCTGACCTTCCAGTATAGGTACCTATGCTACACCGATCCGTCGTCATGGACGGTGCAGCGGCCCGACCGGTGGGCACACCGTGAGACGGTAAATGGAACTGGTGATTTTGCCTTAAATTGAGCTCAAAGGTTTCACGCAAGAATGAGATGGATGAAGCATAAGTAATGCCAACTGTGCGGCGCCTCGCGGACGTAAAAAAATTAGCCGATCACCCCCCCCCCCTCCCGGTGACGGATAAATGTTATGTCCCGCGAGTGTGACTTTGGCCCCCCCTTTTGCTAGCGGCTGCGACCGCCAGTGAAATAGCTCGGATATCTAGGCACGACACATGCTAATGGACTCACGATAGGGACAAATTAGGTACATACAAACAACGAGAAAAGCAAACAACTAAGCCTCTTTAATTCATTACGGTCGATGTGATACCGATGGCCGCTTAGCTCAATGTGTCTGACTGTGTGGATACAAGGTTTCACCTATTGCTGAAGGTCAAACAATACGACTCGTCTTGAATGCACGTCTGTGAGTTGTCGTTTTCTGTGGAACTAACAAGCATTGAACCGGACCTCAAATTTCTCCGAAGTGTTTTGTGGTCGAGGTCGACCCGTCTCCTGTCAGGGTCACTGACCTGTGACTTGCCCCCACCGAACTGCGTCCCTTTTTCACTGACTCATCTTTACTGACCTTTGACCCATCTTCACTGACTTGTGACCCGTCTCCAATGACCTTTGGTGCCGGCAGCATTCCCCGCCCCTCAACGACCTATCCATCACTGACCTATGATCCGTCTATCACTGACTTGTGACCCGTCTACTGGTAGCCTACGACCCGTCTACTACTGACCTGTGACTGGTAGTAGCTGCCTCGCAGTGACCTGTTATCTCTGACCTGTAACCCGTCCCTGATTTCCCTGTGACCCGCCTCATACTGACCTGTGACCCCGGCAGCGGGTGCGCCGGGCGCGCGGCAGCGGTCCCGTGGTGATCCGCTCGATCCAGTCAACATAGTTAGCCACCTTAGTGTAGACGCCGGGCCGGAGGGCGCGCGCGCAGCCGTACCCGTTACTGGTGATACCGGTCAGCGTCCACTCGCCGGACGGCTCCTGTGGTATATGACCGAGGGTCAGGCGGAAGGCACAGGTGACAGGAAAGGTGACACAGGGGCAACAGGAGGTAACGGATGTTACAGGAATTAAATCCACAAATGATGACAGCTTTTATGAACAAGCAGTCGTTCCAGATTTGGCATATGAACAAACTGTCACATGAACGATCTCAGTCACCACATGGACAGATCACAGTGACCAACCTGACACATAACATACAACTGTCACATGAACAGGAAGTCCTGACATACAAACAGAAACCATGTCACTGACCTGACACATGAGCGGTCCGCCGCTGTCGCCCAGACAGGCGTCGCGGCCGCCGCGGTCGTACCCCGCGCAGAACATATCGTCGGTGATTTTGTACAGCGGTAGGCGGGAGGTGCGCTTCTTGCACTGCTGCGAGGTGATGAGGGGCAGTTCCACCTCTTGGAGAGTGTCAGCTGTTGAGAGAGACGCACATCGGTCAAACAACGAACTAATTAGTGGCAGCCCTTGGAGTGTCCATAAACGACGACACCCAGCCGTACTTATGCTTGTGCAAGGATGATCCAAATTTACCAAATATCAGCCCTAGCTTATGACACGAGACGCGCTTTAGGTAATCCTTCTTAAATTCAAGTTAGGAGTCAACAAGTGAAGGAAATATTTTAAGATCCCGTTCTGTCCAAAAAACAGCATCAATTAACGTTTGAACACAGTCCACTCAATCCCGCCCCACCCGTCAATCCCACCAGCCCCGCTGCCTTCGTTAACTCACGGAATATCCTGCCCGACTCGAACAGCTGACCCCAGCCGATCACTGAGCAGATGGCGCCCTCAGTGACCTCGGCGCGGCGCGGCGGCAGGCACACGGGGCGCACAAAGTCGCTCATACTGGAATAAGGGCAGGCGAGCAGAGTGAGACGGGGTGTAGGATCGCCTACGCCCTACGGAGATAGTGGGGGTGGTGAAACTGCATAGCATATAACGGATTTTCATTGAAACAAAAGGGGCTTAGTCTATCACTTGGTGAAGCTATCGGTCTTACAGCGAAAGCAGCAAGTCTTAGAAAATAGAGTCAGACGCATTGAAGCTGAGCTACTGTTAAAATAAAAATAAAAATCTAGCTGTATTGAGCTTGTTTGCCTCACCACAGTCGGCCTGTATTCTCGCACTAGACTCGAACTGCCCCCTCACCAGACTCACCGAAGTGGGCATATCGCCGCAACTGAGTCGACTAGCGATCGGACTCACTGGAATTGGTTTGTCGCCTCACAATTCAGCCCATCACCTCACCTGACTGAGTCGGCCAGCCGGAGCAGCGCGATATCGTTGACATATCCAACATCCTCGTAGTCCGGGTGGACGATGATGTGGGACACCTGGTGGAGCGATTCGAACGGCGATAGTAGGGTGCTGCCGCGCCGGTACGCGCCCAGACGGGCCACCCAGTGGTTGGTGGCCGACCTGTGGGGAGGGGAGGGGAGTCAGAGTTGGTTCGGGTGCAGAGGGGTCAACGGAGGTCGAGGCATTGACAGAAACACAGACAGACAAGGGTTAAACAAGGTCTATGTATTGCGCTTGTGTAAAAGACGTTTTTGCAAAAGGTAAGATTTATTAGCGGGGTAGACACACCGTAGGTTGACATGTGGACAATAAATACCAAGATTACTCAATAAATTGTTAGCCTTCGCAGCTAACGTCCGTGGGCGAAACTGGTCAGATCTATCGTCAGCTCAGCTGCAGAGTTCAATAGAGTTCAGGATCGGCCCGCTGCCGGTCAGGACCAAGGTCAGCGTCCAGTCGGACCGGCGCCAGATATTCCTTTCCGGCTTCGCTGACCTCCCAGCGACTTTAGAGGGAATGCTGCCGGTCACGGTGCGTTTATACCCGTCCCAAACCGGCCCGACCTGTCTATCCAGTCTCCAGATGACGGATTAATACCAAACAGGGCTAAATATGCAGCGCAAACTGCGTAAACGGTCACTGACTCGACTGGTGAACGATCTTTGTCAATTATCCTGACTTGTATCTAGCTTATCCGGACATAAATCCAGCGATATGTCTTATAGCAGCCGCCTTCTGAGTACTTAGAGTTGGGTCGCTCGTTCTACCCGATTTGTTCCAGAGGTTACGTAATCTGAGTATGTATCTCCCACCACAACAACTGCAAACCTGGAGCGCACGTTGCTCCATCTGGCTAAGCACCACTCTGATGACATTTACACCAATCACGCCTAAAAACAGCCACACCACGAGACCTGAACACCTGCCCATCTCGTCTCCTCGGTCCAATCACGTGACATCCCAGATTCTCGTGGTTGCTCGCCCGAGATAGCAGTGACCGGCTGAGGGCAGCCGCCTATCTGGGATGACTGTGGTCCCGCACAGGCCACAGCATCCCATCTCACCCTCCGTAGCACCCTCTCACCCTCTGTACCACCCCTCTCACCCTCTGCACCACCCCTCTCACCCTCTCTGCGCCACCCCTCTCACCTGAGATAGCAGTGACCGGCGGAGAGCAGCCACCGGTCTGAGATGAGTGTGGCGCCACACTGGTACTCCCCGTCCCTATACATTGCCGCCTGCCACGGCCAGGCGCCTGGACTGGAGTTGGTGCCGCCCACAATCCTGCCAACATGGGGTGGCCGGTCCTGAGAGGAACATGAGGTAGCACACTACGAGCTGATCAGAATGGCTCGATGGTCGGCGAAGATCCCAGACTGCCTGAGCAAATTTTTCAACTATACATACATGAGCAGAACATCATTGATAAGAAAAGCCAACTGCAATAACCTTATAACAAAACTTCCGCCCCAGCAGGTAGGGAAGTTGAAACATTGCTTGGGGTAAAAAAGATAACGATAAATTGTGGGCCCTAATCTTCATTCGTATATAGTTTTCATCCTGGTGATGTATTTGATCGTTGAACGTACCGTGCCCGTCGCTGTTTGACGCGCGGTCTCAGGCCGCACTTGAGACTGTCACAGCTTATATGCACTGCCGTCTGACGGGGGCAAGTGGCCTCCTCAAACACCAGGCTCGTACTGAAACAGACGAACGTGCGATGTTACATCGATCGAAACGTATCTGCATCATCGAAACGTAACTGCAACGGTTGGAAATGAAAGAGAGGCCACTTTAGGTCGACTCCCCAAATGGTACTTAAAACACAGTGTGTACAAATGCAAACGAGCAGTAAAGTAATCTTGCTAAAAACGTAGTAAAGTAATCCTGCTAAAAACCGCTAGAAGCTAAATATTTGACGAGATCTGACTCCCCGTATCCGTTGTTGAGTGTACTGCTCCACTCCCCTTTCCGTAGTCCGTACCTGTCTGATGTGTTGCGCGGCGCATCCTCTGAGAGCACCAGTCGGTAGAACGGATCGTCCCGTCGCTTCCGCTGCCGGCGGGACCGTCTCCGTGCGGATGGAGCCGAGTCCGTACGGAACACGCCCGTGGTCTCACTGCGAAAACAGGCGACGTGGTTATTAGACGATAATCGAGAATGCATGGGTTGCTGATCTCCAGGTAGTTTTTGATAATGGAAGCTGGTCCAAACGGTGAGCCAGACGATATTCTAAGTCAGCGCTCAAAGTTGACGGGAACTGCAAGGCGATGCAGTCCTACATTATCAATCCCGGTGCAAGTATCCACAGTTAGCTTTAGTAAACGATTGGCATGTCATTTCCCATCATTAGCCACTTCGCTTTCTTCTAATTAAGGTTTATCACGGTTCATGCTTACATGAACCGGCACCTTGCCGCTAATTAGGTAAGCAGTGGCTCTTCTTCATTATAATTGCTTATACTTTGCAGCCTGTTTAACTAGCACGCTAACCCACTGCCCTAATCTTCGGTTACTGACTGTAGTTACATTCAGCTCGCAATAATTTACGACGCATCGTTTTTCGCATGCTCAGGCTTACGTCTAGCTGGAATACATTTACATACGCTTACCTTGTTACCGTACTGAAATGTATCTACACCTACCTAGCCTACCACACACCTAACTCACCTACTTACTTGTAGGTGAGAGCGTTGCAGACGGCCTTTCCCAGCTCCTGGACACTCCAGTCCGTGCCGGTACGGCGCACGAGCGCGTCGAAATCGTCGACACAGAGCGGTCCCCACTGGCCGCGGCGGCGGACCATCAGGTATCCGGCGGACTGGTAGCGGCGCTGGTCGGCCGTCGCCCTGCTCGTGGCCAGTGTGACACACTGGTGTTCGTCGGCGCCGTCCGGACAGTCGTACTCGCCGTCACAGACTGCCTCGGCCGGTACACAGCGCTTGGCGCCCGGGCAGATGAACTGGCCGGGCTGACACCAGTCTGGGGAGGAGAGGGGTGTCAGTCTCATGGAGCAAGTGCAACGAAACTGGCCGGGCTGACACCAATCTGTGGGGAGGTGGAGTGTGTCAATGTCTGGGAGCACGTACAATCTAACTAGGAGGGTACCAGTCTGCAGGCAGGGGGTGTCAGACTTTTAGCGTCTGAACAACCACACTGACCGGGCCGATATAAGTCGGGGGGGGGGGGGGGGGGCAATCTCTTGGAGAATGAGCAACCAAACTGACCAGATTGGTAAGTACCAGTCTGAAGGGACGGAGAAGAGCGAGGGATTCGTCAGGCGTAATCCGGAGAGTGAGCGATACTTTCTGCCCACCGGAATGACGATTTTTGACCTGGCCATGGCCATCAGGAGGGCGCCGCCAAAAATGCCCCGCTCGCCATGGCCGCTGATAGCGGAGAGAGTTTTACTTTGGCGACAGAGACCGATGGTGCCATGTGCCGCTCTCTGCGCTTCACCGGGCGACCTTATCGGCCAGACACCGCAAGCAATTCCAGGATTTGTCGTCAGCGTCTGCTGTATGACAACGGTGTTATCCGCAGATTCTCCGAGCTATTAAGATAAACGACAAAACAAGATGGTACGGCTGTAAGTGATGAGTTCATGCACCGCTGACACTGTAGCTTCATACCACTCCAATTGTCTTGTGAACACGGTTATTGCATCGAACACGACGTTATGACGTCAGGCTGTCGATCTGGAGAGATATGAGTGTCATTCCTAACAATGAGCAGACCGCAACCTTCAGTTCGAATCATACGGGTAGGTAAGCTCGCCCTGGACGAGAGCTGAGTACTGAGCGGGCAGGGATCTCTGACCTAACAAAGGCAAAATTAGGAGGGTGGTGTTGACTACTGATCAAGCGAATCCACAGCGTACTGGGGATCGCTGAGGAGTTCAGATCAAACAAAGGACAATCTATATAGCACACAGTTGATAATTTTAGCTAACCGGTGCCTGTCAAGTGTCTTATTAACTTCTAGAAAATGAGTCGCAAGAGTTAATCACCGTTACCAGAAAATGAAAGAACTCCGTGAAAGAACTCTGTTACTTCAGCATAAATCACTCATGACAGACAGCTTTTGCCGTGCCAACAAACTCATAACATTTTCGCGAACTGGCGATTCTCCCAACCACGCCCAAAGTACCGCACCCATTTGTCTGCAATGGCGTTTTCTTACCGCAGAACTGCTCATCTGTACTATCGTGGCAGTCGATGATGCCGTCACAGATTTTCCTCTCGAGGAACTGGGCGTTGAGCCGGTCTGCGCACGTACAGACCATCTCGTCACTGCCATCGGCGCAGTCCCGCAGCAGGTCACAGCGGGACAGGCGCGGGATGCACTCGCCGGAGACACAGCGGAACTGGTCCCCGGGACAGCCGGCACCCGGCGGCGTCAGCTCCTCCTCTGGAACAAAAAAGGGTTAGTTTCTAAGCGCTCAAGTTTCACCATTGGTTTCTAGACACCCCCTCGTTTCTAGGGGGAGAAAGTCTAGAGGGGTGAAGAGCATTGGGGAAAACAAGAACGTTATACCTCTAGTGCCAGTGGTATCATATTTGTGCCATTACATCTGTGCAATTATGTAACAGGTACGTACTCGGAAGAAGGCTCATAATGAAGTTGACCGATCACTTTTACATTGTCCCCAAACAACAGAGATGACATCAAAAGAATACAGAGCCGTATTTGACGTAAACATGAACTACATCAGAGCAATTAGGGAAACCAAGAAAAATTGAGTAATACTGCCCGTCCAAGAAATATCCCATTACAATGCAATTTTGCATGTAGCTTCAACACCACATAAATCCCTGCGCCGCTGACGCCTTGCGACTCACCGGGGTAGGTGTAGTTGCTGAGCAGGGACGCCAGTGTCGGCCGAGTCGGCACCACGGCAGAGGGGTGCGCCGCAGTGCCCACCTCGTTATCCGTCTCCACCACCAGCTGTGTGCTGGCCGCCGCCGGGGCCGGCCGGGCAGATACACCCACTACCTCCAGCGGTGGCTCCGGGGTGGTAGTCAAACGACTAAGCTTGTCCGCCAGTCGGGGAGGCTCGGTCACCCTGGGCCAGTCCGAGTCGGTTGGAAGGCGGAACCGGACCGGTCGCCACTTCTGCGTGGGACGGACGGTGGTGGGTGCCGTGGTGGAGGGATGAGTCGGACGGTAGGTCGGGCGGGAGGAGGGGCGTCCCGGGCGAGCGGTTGGACGTGAGGGACGCGAAGGACGGGTGATGAGACGGACTGGCGGACGGACTGTTGGTTCCGAGTGTGCTGGCCTATCGCCTTTGCTGCCGCTGTCTCCGGTTTTATCCTCAGAGTGATGACCTACTGTCATTTCGGATGGTGCTTTTAAGTCTGTCTCCTCCAACAAGCCCATCCGATTAACCTGGTCGATAGCACTGTGCTCCTCGCCGGTCCACTGGACGTTCTCCTTTACGGGTGACCAGAGTTCCATCTTCTCGGAGCCCTGCCACTCAGTCCTGTCCGCCTCAGGGTTCTTCCACAGCTCACTGGAACTACTCTCCGTCACAGCCTTCGCCGCCTCGTCCGACGAGCCTACCTCATTCTCCTTCGAGCTCTCAAACTCGCGCCTCGTCTCGAAAATCCTATCAAGAATATCGTCCACCGTCGCTCCCTCGTCGTACTTAATCACTTGAATCGGAGCGCTGTTGGGAAGACGCGTGGTGCCTTCCAGTCTCCAGCGCCGCTCAGGCCGAGCAGTAGTCGCAAAGATCCCCCGTGAACGCACTCCACGGAATCGCATCAGTTTATCGGCGAGTTTCTCTCTTCTGGGTGGTAGGCGGTGTCGGGAACCGCGCCGAGGGCGTTCGGTGGGTGAAGCAGCCAGCCTCAGACGAGCCGCCAGACTGGCCACCGACTGGGAGCTGTGTAAGGGACGTCGGACGCGCCGCGCCGCTACGGGACCGGAGGCGGAGCTGAGGTCGGCGTCAGCGGGCTCAGCAGGGTGGTGAGGTCTCTGTGAAGAGACAGGTGTCTGGGTTGGACTTGGTAATCTCCGAATGGCGTAAAGCCGAGACCGCGGCTGCGACGAGGGCTCCGAGATATCAGGCCGGTCCTCGCGAGGGTAGTTGAGCCGCAGCCACGCCAAACTCCGCTTATGTCTCAGATTTGCACTGGTCACATTTACTTCATTCACAGCCTCGCCGTTCAACACTGGAACACTCTCACCATCTCCCTTTTTCAGCGTGCTTTCCTTGCCGTCTTTCCGCACTCTGCCGCTGTATTTCCTCCGTCCTGGCCCCCTCCTCTGGGCGGCACCCTCCGACAGACCTGACGCCGCCCGTCCCTCCGCCAGCGACCGTTCTCTGACGCTAGTCGAGGTCACGATGTCTGTATCCAGCACCAATGGCTTCCTGGTGGAGAACATGTCGAAAATGCTGTGTACGGGATCGTTGCCGGTGAAGATCTCAGTGTCGTAGTAGAAGTAGTCTTCCTCGCCTTCCTCATTGGTATCATAGTATGAGGACGGAGGGTTGGACTCATCGCCTACAGCAGGGTACTCTGGATGCGGAAGGGACGGTGGTTTCGGCCGGCTCGGCGGATACACCCCTGAGTATGAGGTCACCGGGCGGAAGAAGGGCCTGGTCACGTGCCCGTCGCGCTCCCAGGCCTGTTCAGGTGAGACGGTTACGGCGGCAGAGTCTCCCTCTGCCTCTGCTGGCCAGGTGGTGCCCAGAGGTGACGGGCCCACCGGGGCCGGTACAGCTCCCTCCGCCGTGCCTGGTGGAGTCGGCCAGGCCGCTGGAACGCCTCCCGGACCGGTGTGGAAGTGGAGGTGTGGTGGCACTGTTTGGAACGACACTACGTCAGGTGTGGTGACGAAGTCTCCGTCCTCGGTCAAACCAGCCTGACCGAAGGGGTCACTGGGCGGTGACACGATTGAGCTGACCTCATGAAAGTCGGCATGGTGTTCCTTTTCTATTGGCGAAGCTGTTGTTGGCGACATTGGATCCAGCAGATCAGAGGAACCAAACGGAGACTTGCTGATGATCCCTGAAGGATGAGTTACGTATGGATTGTCTTCTGTGTCATTTTTGGAGACAATGGTTAGAGTCTTGCGCACCAGTTTGTCTGGAAGATATGCGGCAGGTTGTTCAGAAAGCCTCTTGATATGAGAAGGTGTACCATTGACGGCGCTAAACGTAATAATGATATCTGGCACTGCTGATGAGCCATCTTTTTCTGTTAGTTGTGTGGTTGATGACTGTTCAGCCACTGTTTTCACGCTCGCACCAGACAGAGTGCCAGCCGATGTCTTATCAGCAGAAGTCTTCTTACTTTTGGCGGGAGCAGGCTTCAGCACGACAGTAAGCGGCGGCAACGTCGCTGGTTCTTCTGTATCCATCTGGTCGCTGGTGTCTGATGGCCCCTGCCGCTCCGGCTCCGGCTCCAGCTGCTCCGGCTCCAGCTGCTCCGTCTCCGGATCCGGTAGTTCCGTCTCCGGCTCTGGTTGCTCAGTCACTGGCTGAGACTGTTCAGTCACAGCCTGCGACTGCCCAGTCACCAGCTGCTCATTTGGTTCGGTCCTGGACAGCACTGTGGGTTTCGTCCTCGCCAGTACGAACTCTGAGAGCATCTGCAGGAGTCCTGCTCCCAGTTTGTCGGGGCTTGGGAGGAAGGAGGCCACAGAAGGGATGGCCGGAGGTCGCGATGGTCGCGGAGGGGGACGGTAACTCGCGGAGGAAAATTTGGGCCAGTACGGAGCAGGTAGATCCGTCTCAGGGTTTGACTCAATTGCATCTGGTCTGGGTTGGACAGGATCCATCGGACTAGCTGGTGCTGAAAAATCGTGTTTCACTGGAAACTGGTCTGGGCCGCGTCGATGCTCCTCCGGGTAAGTTTCAGCCTCTTCATCCCAGACACTGCCCTGTCCTGTCTGAGACGGAGGACTGCTCTCGCCGCCTTGAGTCTCACCCAGCCCGGGAGCCAGCGGTAGAGACGGGCCCACAGCCGCCACCCGCTGCCCCGGGGACGATTCATCTCCAGACGGCAACACCGGCCTCCACGGGGTACGATCGTACTCCGGCAACTGCACTGACGGCCTGTCCACGAACGGTACGATCTCGGGCGGCGCCGGGCGCGACCCGGCACCGGCCGCCGGCCGCGCCCGGTCACCACCAGCTGACGGCACGACGCCGGCCCCTGCCGAGTCACCGTGGGGAGGTCGGGGTCGGGGTGGGCGCGCCGGGAGCTGCGAGACGCCGCCGGTGCCCCAGAGGTGCGACTCCACCGAGGCAGCCGTCGCTAGGTCGGACCGACGGCCGACCAGAGCCGGAGGGAAGTCACCGTACTCTGAGGGCTGATACTCGGTGATGGGTCTGCCGTGCAGTGCGGGGGACGGCTCCGCTCCCGACTCCGTCTCCGCCAGGACTCCGGTAGGTCCCTGTCCTTGCAGCATCACAGAGCCGACGCGCGGCGGTCGGACCCAGTCCTGCAGTTGGTGAACGTCCGAACCCGATCCGCTGGTCGCGACGCCGCCTGGTGCTCGGTGACCGGGGCTGGCAGCGGACGACTCAGCCGAGTCTCTTGAAGGCTGGCCCGATGTCGAGCTCACGTCCGAGGTCAGCACAGGTGACAATCCTGGAAGATTCTTCTCCCCTGAGAAAAGAACATGGTGTCATGCCACACCTGAACCAACCACGGAGTGAATGACAGAGGAATCAGCAATGCAAGTACACAATGCGAAAGGCCATCAGACATTCGCCTGCTGTGCATTATGCAAGACGATTCAGCTAGCCAATACAATGGAAAAGGCAACAGACAATAACTACTCGTATTCATAATAGTAGATGACGAGACGTGGGAAAGCTCACATAAGGCATTCCAGGTTTAAAATCTAGAGGGCACGATGATCGATGATTATGATTATTGCATCATGCATGTTATGACATGATTGTATGATTGCGGTGTCATACCATATGATAATACAAATATATCACGATATCGTGATTCGTAGCATTATGACAACAACAGAAAGCAATCTGGAAACTAACTCAAGTGGAGACCACAGAGAGTGACACACTGATGAGTTTGTCTGTCGGACCACCGTCTATAAGGGGGCGGGGTACCGGGCAGACCACGTTCCTCCACGCTCCGCTGCACATCCGAGCAGTGCCGACAGTTAGCCGCCCGTCCCGGCGGCGCATGCGCAGAGCACACCTGACCCAGTAGCGGTGCCGGCTCATGACTGGGCACCCAGCTGATCGGACCGGGCGCTAAGCAGGCCGGCCTATCGACATGGACAAACCATAGCGGGTGAAGGACGCGCTACTCGGCAGCTAAAGGATCCGGCGGCACTTAAATGGCACCCAAGGACTTCTTCATGGCGGGAGGTCGAATTGAGGAGCATTAGAAATGGATTAAAGAGGTGCTTATTGCAATATTGCAACTACATATCCTCTGCAGGATCCTTGACACGTTCGCCAAAATTACACAACTGGCGCTTGTTTTCGGTGTGGATGGGCGTTAAACAAAAACCAGAAACCGGTTCGCGGCGGTGAGCTACTCCAGTGGTGAGACTCTGCAGACATCAGTCGACCGCACAACCGGGCGTCTTTCTCGGCGAACACAGCTCCCACGAAACGAACGCAGTTCAGTCTCGAGCTCAACTCACGTGAGATGTGAATACTGTTGATGTCGAGTTGGAGCGCTCGGAATGCCTTCGGCTGGAGGGCCATCACCTCCTGGGTCAGGACGTCCCTCAGCGCCTCCTCCGTGTCCACGACAGACCTATAGAAACAAACGTAAATGTTACAGTTTGGAAAACATCTATGCATGAGCAAAAACATTATTATACACATTTACAATATGATAAAGGTCCAACTCATAACATGTTAGGGGGAGATTCGGGGAGCGCCGCAGGCAACTGTAGAAGCGGTAGATATCGGCCGGGCGAGATTTATGCCACTGATGATAAGTGTTCTGTATACTCAGTGTAAAGCATCTATGGTGCAAGCCCGTAAGCCATCTGCGGGGGGAGGGGGCCGGACGCGAGTTACCTAAGTGTGGAACTACAAGTCGATTCTAGGGCTCTGATTGGTGACTTTGGTCGGGGGATGACGCTTATAGCATGACGTCACTCGCGTACTTGGCCGGACCAACGGCGCGGCGCAGGCGCGCCGAGCCAACCCAGAGACTCTCAAACTCAATTGTACAGATCCTGCGCATTGAATGGCGAAACTTCGGCGAGTTCGCTTGAGTTTGGAAGCCCCTGCCAGAGAACTGGAGACGGCCGGATTATTTGCTGGACAGTGGGGAGCGCAGATGGCGATAAACGGTGCCAAAAAGATGATAGGGAAAAAGGAGTTGAGACTTGAGCAGTGAATTATAAGCCTGTTGCATAGCTGAGTGGTAAATTGTAAAATACTTAAGGTTTGAAGAGATGCAGTGTAGTTTAGCCGACTCAGGGGCATTCTGCCGAGTTATGTAAGGCGGAAGGGTCGCAACTCGGAAGTCGTTTGTTTACATGATTGCCTGATTGAAATGTAAAGCGTACCTAATGTTTAGTTGATAATACAGCGAGGTTGGGCATCTGCTCAATCCATTTCTTCTCTGCAATAGTGCATTCGCCACTGTAGGGGAAAGTGGGGTAAGACGGACACCTTAACTTTGGAGCCATTTTTCGGCCGGTTAGAAACATCATAGAAACGGGAAACTGAGTGAAAACCTCTTTTAGACATTTTACTTCCATTTGCCAGAAGATGAGACTTAGACCTGATTCAACAAATAAACTGCAGCTATTTTTGCAAAACCTTGCAAAAACCCGTCTTACCCCACCCCATGGGGTAAGACGGTCACATGGGTAGGGCAAGACGGCCAGCTTCTTTCACCGACCAGTACAGCTCGCAACAAATGCCCGAAATTAGCTGCATTGATACAGTCGCTCGTTGGTCTCAAGTGCCTCGGAAATGGCAGTATACAAGATTTGTGCAGAAGGCGTATGCTCGTATATAGGCCCTAGATCAGAAGTCATGTAGAACCGTTTTTCACATTCATCATTCGAGAATAAACTGTGCCGAAGGAATATTGCTAACATGTCTGTGAGTATCGGAATCGAAGATATTCTTATAAGAAATGCTTCTTTTTTTCCTACAGCAACAAAAATATTTTCACCATTACAGACCCATTGGATTCATAGTTGCCCGTCTTACCCCTAACTCAATGTAAGAAGTTCAGCACAATTTTTCTCTGTGGACAATTTGATGCAGACAAAGCAAATCCGCGGTAAATGAACACTGGTGGCATATGAGTGTACCACAAGTGATTGCGAGTTTTTAGCTGTATAGTGCTGCACACAAAAACTTGCACAATACATTATGGATGTTTTCAATGAAATTAGTGTTTTAAAGAAATCAAAATAAAAGATTATCGACTGAACACAAAATCACCAAACTTCAATGGTGGTGTGTAGTGGGAAAGACAATTCTGGTCCTAATTTTTCTCGCTCGTAGCGCTATTGGTTTGGTCTGCAGAAGGGGTGCCCGTCTTACCTACCCTGACCGTCTTACCCCACTTTCCCCTAATTCATTGTAAGAGGCACTGGGCTGCGCCGCCTGTTAATTATTCCGAAACCACCAGTGAATTGTCACAGTCACTCACAACAATACGAATCGTTCAGTCGTGCGCTGGGGGTCCGCCAAGTTTGAGTGTGCTGCAGAATGCAGACTGGACCGCCGAGAATATAACACTTCCGTCTCCCTGGGCGAGCGGCGCATTGGAGCCGAAGGAAACTGCTTCAGTTTTTTTTTTGTGGGGAAGATACCCATGTTTGAAAATTATGTTCTGGAATGATGCGATAAGGAAAAGGACGGTTTCTTGAATTGAGGGCTGTGGAGAAGAAGCAGATTTTCTCATTTGCTACCCGATACAACGCGAAAAGACGCAAATGTTGCACATTGGGCATAAGTCTAATAAAAGATAAGGGACTTCGTGAATCATGCCTAACTGACCGCGACCCAGTTATTTGCCACTGCAGGTAGGTACTAGGTAGGTAGATACTCATTTGTAAACAGAGCGTTCCACCAACCCTCGCCAGAAATTCAATCAGCAGTTGCTTATCTTAAAACGTTTGAGTGCACCTAACAATCTTTAAAAATGACGTCCTCCCTTTCAATGGTTCGTTCGAAGACACAAAGCCAGAATCAGCCAAGCAATATCGGAATCCATTGCGCAGTGTGTCGACTGTCGGATGTGCCCATCCACGTAGCATAGCACACACTGCTAAATGCAGGTACCTACGCTCACCTACACATTAGGTATTCGAAGGACTTGATAGCTCATACACATGGAAGAAACGCATGAAATGTGATTAATAGCTGCAGCAGAAGTTGGCGTCCGATGCCTCTTCGCCAAGTTAAGACCCAGGGCACTAAAGTTAAGACCATGCCAATCTCGGCCAGTCTGCCGCCGCGCCGGCACTGGCCGTGGTGTGACGTCATCTGGCCGGCTCGGCGCTGGGTAGTTCCACACTTAGGTAACTCGCGGGCCGGACAGGGGTGTTCTCGGCTGGGTCAGGGGTCGTAAATTCCAGGAGCCATGTCCCTAATCCGTGGCGATCAGCTGCACCATGTGCGGATGAGCCGCCGCTGAGCCACCGGTGCCGCCGCGATGGGGCAATGGTGGCCGCGCTGCCACCGCAGATTCGGACAGATGATCCAGCTCAATCTCAGCCGCTCGCGACGCCTGCCTGCCGTTGGCGCGGTAATTTTTATCTCACGAAGTGTTGCAGGGCGGGGAATTCACGGATAAGACGGCGAAGGACATGCTCTGTAAACTGAGTCCCAATTTAAAGCAAAGGTGCAGGCGAGGCCATAGAGCACAGTTCGCCAGTTCGCAACAGCGAGAAGGCATCATGATCTAATCCGGTAAACGTCCTTCGGTCTTAGACCAGCGGCAAGGTAGGACTGGCACGCGACTCCCATAAAGGTGTTCAGCTAAACGGACACCAGCAAGCCGGGAAGGGAAAGATTAGCCCAGACATTCTGACCATTCCTGTGTTAATACGAATCGAGAAGGCGAGATGCGAAACTATTAAGCATTTCCTAATGATAGGTATATGCAATTTTTATGAAAGCGAATGAGAAAGGGTGAGAGATAAAGGGGGACAGAGGGAGCAGGGGAGAAAAGGATGAGCGAGCGAGAGAGAGAGAGAGCGAGAGAGAGAGAGAGAAATAAAGAGAGAGAAAGAGAGAGCGAGAGAGCGAGAGAGCGAGAGAGCGAGAGAGCGAGAGAGAGAGAGAGAGAGAGAGAGAGAGAGAGAGAGAGAGAGAGAGAGAGAGAGAGAGAGAGAGAGAGAGAGAGAGAGAGAGAGAGAGAGAGAGAGAGAGAGAGAGAGAGAGAGAGAGAGAGAGAGAGAGAGAGAGAGAGAGAGAGAGAGAGAGCATACTTACAATGGCATTATAACCTTGGATAAACTGAATGGTGACCACAACGCAACACAAAACAAAACCACCAGACAGGAGGCGGAGACTGCATCGCAAGTCAGGACAATAGCACCGGAGGGCGGGGAACTGCAGATGCGCACAGAAAAGTAGCACCAATTTACCAATTTCTTTTCTCCAATCGATATTAGCAGGTGCCGATGATTATTTCGGAGTCGTCACATGCCCGAACAATGATAATCGACCGGTGGGTGATGGACGGTTAGAATAATGCCACCCAGAGTTACCAGTCAAATACACACTATCAAGAAGGAAACTCATCGATCATGATAGGACAGTCTTTGCCAGTAAATGTAGGTACCAAGGATGGAACCACCGACGGAAATGGAAATGTATCGAGCATCGAGTTCGTGACCGAATGTAGGTATTGCTTGATGGAGTTCGGGTGAGCGCATCACGTAACAGTTATGTAGGTAAATGGCATAATGGGATGACATAAGTAGATATTAAACGACAGATGAAATAGTCGGTTTTCCAGCATCATCTCCACAGTGTGCCATTTAGGTCACAGATTTACCGCAAAACAGAGCTGGCGTGAAATAGTCTCGAGGCTTAGAACGCATCGCCAGTATGCTCCATTTCCCAAGGGATGCACGCGTGTCCAAAATTAACATCCCGCTAAGGCTATAGTGGTGAGGGGCTTTAATGCATAGCAGCGTCAACATCTGTTGCAGTTTCAGGAATGCAGACAGCGTAGCCATACTGCTCTGCTGCAATTAAACTACAAAGTCAGTGATACTTCTAACGGTAAAACAGTGCACCAAATGTGCATTTGGCACATGTTCGGGTAGCGCTGTAGAGATCATTTGGAGTGAATCACCGTAACATAGATCGACGTTTCGGTGCAGGGCTGGTAGAACTACTTGGGAAACGGCAGTCGTAACAACGGCGATAATTCACGGAACAAGTACTCAAAGTGATGACGAACATTTTAAACGTGGCAGGGGTACGCAAGTACCGTCACTTACTAGCGTGCGTCACCTCTTTCCTTTTCCGGGCGTGTCTACATATTCCAATAAGCAGCAGTAACCGGCAGCCGATTGACAACCGACCCAGCACAGCCCACTCTCTCGCGGCACGGCAAACTATTCTGAGACGGCGCTTTGTGACCCTGACCTTGGGTCACGCGAGCGGGCGGCGCTCCCACGCGGTGACCGCTGGGAGACTGACCAAACCGCAGCGGTCAGCGTGCTGTGACATTGACCGGAATGGGCCGCGTACAACCGCGCCACTGACCGCGCCGGTATGGGCCGCTGACCCAGTGCACTTGACCGAGAGAAACCGCTCGTGGGCGCGGCACTGATGTCGCAACTCTCGCTCATGTTTGGACCTTGCCAGACGATGAAATATGGCTCGCTGTTAGAGCGTCGATATGCATATTTCTGTTGTCGGTTTGATGCTTAGGAAGGCCAATTTTAATGATCTACCTACCCTTAGCCAGCTGATGACGATGACTTCAATGCATGCCATAAATGCGGCGCTGCGTCAGTTAACCACTTTAGTGTTGTCAAATTCAGCAACTCCGTCACTTATCAAACAAGACTTCAAAAATCTTATGTATCCCGCTAATGTGCATGCAGCAACGTTGCGAAATGCAAATAATTGCATGCGTAATATTGACGCTTAGGTTTGCTTCCTGCAGTTGTTCGCTAATGGCTGTAATAACAGGTGGGTGACGCTCCACCGTAATGGGTTTTCGTCACGGTCTGACTGCACTGTGCCACTATCTTCATTATCACGAAAGTAATTTTCCACCTGAGTCACACGAAGTTGGGCGAGGCTCGACGATAGCAATCCAGTTTCAAAGTCGAATCACTACTCGACAGAGGTTGCATATGTGCAAAGATAGCAAATACTTAGAAGATATCTATCAATTATCAGCTATCTTCATTACCGCTTATTCTCCGCTTATTCCCGTTTCTTGAAGGAACGGGAATAAGCGGTTCAACATGGTTTGGGGATATGTAGGTAACGAAAAATGCCACGAAATGTCATCCAGTAGAAAAGACACAATGATTGACAGAATTATTATTGCATCGTGAAGGCTTTCGCATTTCCGAAGCAAACCACTATTAAACACAAGCAATATAATGTGATCTGGTCGAGTGTTGCAATGCTCGAGCTAAAGAGAAAGAATGTACAAGTTACGCTTAATGGAAATAGTTCAATTAATCAGTATGGCTATTGCCAAGGTCAAGAAGACCATCATACTTTGCATCACAGGCGGTTTCTTGAAGGAACGGGAATAAGCGGTTCAACGTGGTTTAGGGATATAAAAGCCCGCGTTTAAGCAGTCATAAAAGGTAAATCAATTTCGAGAAGCCATGTTAATCGGAACAGTTGACATATTTTCACAGCGATTACCGTACCGTTTAGCATGTCGTGGATCAGTTTCTCATGGAAATGAGGTCACTAGATGCAGGCGACATGGCTCAGCTGTGCAATGTGCACTACCGTACTTACCTGGGTATTTTCCTTCTGTCGAGATGAATACGAAAGAAGACCGTCAGCGGTCGACCGTCGAACGAGTGCACGTCCACATGGCGAAACGCCTCGGAGACGGAGCTGGCTCCGTACAGCGTCTCCAGCTGCAAACATCAGCACAGCAACGTCAGTAGCTGCGCAATCAACATTAGCATCTACATCAGAAGTATTAGCAACTGCATCAACAACATAAGCAGCATCAGCCGCTGTATCAGTAGGTACCATGTGAACATTAGCAATTGCATTAGCAACCGCATGCCAGCACCACGCGCTGCAAATCAGACGGCGTGCATCTATCGAGTATCAGCTATGTCGTCATCGGGGTAGGCATATCCAATTTCACACGTCTACCCGCACACAAGGAGCCTCACGACATATTACCCCGCTCACGACTCCCAGCTGGGCGTCTGGCACCATGCCACGGAGAATCTCGCGCTAGAGGCGATGCACCCATAGCCACCGACAACCACACATACACACGGTCCATGAAGCAACATCCTCCCGGGGCTGCCGCACGGCGCCTCCCGTGGCTACCGCTCGGATCGGTGTGAGTGCAGGCCTACAGAGACGGCTGCTCGAGAGTCTGATACGAGCAAGACCAACTGACGGCTGCTCGTCAGCCCAACGCAGACCATTGCAAGGGCGACCGCGCCGGTCCAGCGATAATCGTCCTGACTTTTAAATATGTCACTGCTAAAATGTGGCTCAGGCAGAAGTGCGGATGTAGGATGTTCAAAATGTAGGGATGAGTCCCTTGTGGACACTGCTTGTCGGAAAAGACAAGGACAGTCCTTTCAAAGGACTAAAGAGTGCAACACAAGGGCTGATCGTCGAGCCAATAACGGGGTTTCGTGACTTCCCGACGGCCGGAGCTAATCGATAAGCAGGCCAGGGTCACAGGATGGTCGAGTTTTCCCGATTTCAGTCGGCTCGGCGAGATTATGATGGGAGCGCCGCGCTGATATCTGACAGATATTGTCTCGCAGGGTTGAGCAGTTCCGATGCTACACTTCTGCCAGCAAGATGCTGCATCGAAACACGGAATTTCCGACCAAGAAACATGACCAAAACGTGAGCGATGTTATTTCATTTAAACTAATTGTTAATTTTTTTGCTTGCCGTATCCATTTATGTATCATTTAATGCATCATTCTTATGCAAATTAGCCTCTTGTAAGGGTCATATTATATGCTCGACGTAAAAACACTACCTAAAATAACTAACCCCATTTCGTCAAGGCAATTCGGCTCCATTCGGCCAGCATATTGCTATTATCGTTGAGAAACTATTTCATTTCACACAGACTTTGAGAGTCCCCGAAATCAGGCAGCATCTACGCTCCGTAGAAAGGATAACAATGAAAGCACCACCGATGATGCAGCAGCTGGTCCACCTGCAGCCGTCCACCGACCCCTGCCGACGGGCCGTAAACACGTCTGGCCGGCCGCCGCTCCCTGGCTGGGGCCGGTTCCGGGTCAGGGCACCGCTCATCGGGCCGGGTCGGGTATTGACGCCGCCGCGCCGGTCAGACGGGCCGGGCCGGCCAGACGCTGCACTGGACGGACCGGCCCGAGCAGACACGACGGTCAGCGTATACCTAGAGCTCGGACAGACACCAAGCTCGTTGGACATGGCAAGAAGGCAGGACGAGACAGAGAGACGGCGCACCGAACCAGTACCGAAACACTGACCGAGATAAAGTCCGGTCGTGTTTTACCGGCTCAGCCTTGTGCCGAAATGACAAAAACGGGGGCCTTCTCCGAAGTACCTTGTTAGTGGGACACAACGAAATTAAACGAGGAAGAAGAACGTAGAACTACCGGAAGAGCCGGTTGTGAGCTTCAAAACCACGCCGACCAAGTGAGCCCCAGACTCCAAACCGGCCCAGACACCTCTTCGTGTGTTCACACATCAACTCCATATACATGTAACTCCACACACAGGACCGATCCCCGTTTGACCCTGAGCGGACCGGCACGCCCTGCAGTCTGCGGTCGGCCCGCCGGCGCTCGGTGGCCCATTGGTGCCGGCCACTGCGCTTTATGCGTCTGCCGCGGCACACGCTACCTCTGCGGTGTGACCGCACGGCGCCCTGCTGCGGTCTGTCACGCCCCAGCTCTGGGGCGTGACGCGTATCTCAGACTCACCCGTACACGAGTCTCCCACGGAGTATCCTGTGAGACAGAGCCGAATATCCCCCGAAATGGAGCGCTATTGTAATTAGGTACCAAAGGACGCTGTGGTTGACAATTAACCATAACTTTCTAGGAAGAGTCTTGCACTAACACAGTGCATTCCATCTATGTGACGGATTCTTTATTTGATGGTCATTATAACCTTATACTTTTTAAACATGTCTAACAAAGCTCATTAAAACCACTATTCACCCGTCTCTTAAGCATTAGACGTTCCAACGTCCCCAAACTTCCAGCTGGACGCCGAAGACAGCCATGTAACCCAGCACGGCTATTTGAACTTCATCCCCGTGCGTCTCCAACACTGCTAAGACTGGGCACGTGCGGCCTCAGTCAGAGCTAAGACGGTCTCTCCCCTAGCTCGGTGGAGGGCGGCTCTACGGGGAACAGCGGCGGCAGGGTGCATGGAGCCGGCTCAAGGACCGACACCTGTGCTGACACCGTGGCTGACGGTGTATTAGTAAGCCGGCACGGATCGTCACGAGAACCATCGGCTGTCGGGGTGGAAATGAGGGATGGTGGACTCGGTCCGTCCAACAAGATGGTCCGCCCGACTCACAGTCCTATCTGAAGGATTTGGATCTATAGAATATGAGCTGACATCAGCGCCTCATAAGCCGAAGATTACTGATGTTGACGCGTGTATGCTTACTTATGTGAAATGTATGCGTCGAGTCAGTACAGAGAAACGCAAGCGTGGCTCGAAATGATGGACATTAATTTTGCTAAAAGCTTTGTGTAATCGTCCGTCTCGACATGTTTTGCATTGTTACTTGACATAATATATCGCTTATGATTACTTATCACATGAAAGAATGATCGCTATGAATACCATGTGATGCTGTTGATGATCCAAACTTCTCAAGGACAGGCGGTATTAAAGTGTTTCTGAGCCTCAGCCATCAAGATATCAGGTCTGAGCGTCTGCATCTCTCTTTAACACTTCCCTGACAAGGTCGCGTACAGCGTGGGATTACGGTCAATAGTTTCATGGCTACGGTCTCAAAACGATTACTTATCATTATCCGGGATCGACTTAGATCTAGCTAACGATTCCGCACTTATGTTGTTTTATGGTTCTTCCGAAGCTTTAACCATTGCAAATGAAGGTAAGAAAATATTTTAAAATAGCATGAACAGAAGCGATCGTCATCTCTGGCATTTCAGTAGCACCCTATTAAAATGATAAATTTGGATCTCAGACCGACTGCCGCTGTGCGGCATGGCTCTTCAGTTGCTTCCAATGCCCCATTCGACGCATAACACGGACACAATGATCCGACCCGGCGCATTAGCTTGTCTCCAATCCCATCGGACCAGCATAGCTCTGCGAGATCCGTCGGTTTGTCCCGGAGATTTGTCTGCGCTCGATCGTTAACGTCGGTCAAGGTTAGGCTGACAAAGCCGGTCAGAGTACATACCGCCGGCCGGTTGCCCACAAGGACCGCGCAGAGGGAAGTAAACGGTTCGTGGACACAGCCAAAGGAGTGGCTACCGGCGATCAGCTGGGGAATTCTATATTCCGCGTATTTAGACGGCTATTTGGTTAATTTCGTTCCATTTGCATTCTCCTCCGCGGAGGTTGATTCACGAATATACTGAGCTGGCTCTCTTAGTAAATTCGCCATCCCTCCACCTGACCCGACCGTCTCTCCGTCCCATCGTCCATCCACCCGCAATTGGCTGTCTCTCCACTCTCCAGCCTGACAACACCGTCCTCCGTATCGTCTAGCTGCGTCCCTCCAACCCAACCCGTTCGTCCCTCCTTTCAACCGACCATCCCCCCCCCCCGTAACGTCTAGTTGCGTCCCTCCAACCCAACCCGTTCGTCCCTCCTTTCAACCGACCATCCCCCCCCCCGTAACGTCTAGTTGCGTCCCTCCAACCCAACCCGTTCGTCCCTCCTTTCAACCGACCATCCCCCGTACCGTCTAGCTGCGTCCCTCCAACCCAACCCGTTCGTCCCTCCGTCCAACCGACCATCCCTCCGTACCTTCCAGCAGCGTCGTGCCGCTGTGGTACGTCTGCGGTCAGTCCGCGGTGATGACAGCGCCGTTTAAACTAGCTCTCTGCTGGCCAGGGCCACTCACGACCTCAAGAAAACCCGCCCTTGAGCGGAGCGATGATCCGCGACCAATGAGTCATCTCGGTGCGAGGGAGTCGGCTCCCAGATGTTCGAACGCTGTCGCTATTTGGGAGGCGCTCGACAAATGCACCAAACACGGGGTCGTTAGGGTTTAACTCATGCATAACGCTTTGATATTCTTGCTGTCCTTGTGAGGGAGGAGAGGGACATGCCTCAGATAAATCGAGAGAGAGAGAGAGAGAGAGAGAGAGAGAGAGAGAGAGAGAGAGAGAGAGAGAGAGAGAGAGAGAGAGAGAGAGAGAGAGAGAGAGAGAGAGAGAGAGAGAGAGAGAGAGAGAGAGAGAGAAAGAGAGAGAAAGAGAGAGAGAGAGAAAGAGAGAGGGAGAGGAAACAGAGATGATTTTTATTCATAACGGGTAAATGAACCCAGGCATTGCAAGTGTACCTACTCCCACTGAAAACCTTTGCCCCCAGACAGAGAAAACAAATGAGCAACTGATCTTACTATAGCCTGCACATAAATTGTGCAAATAACCGTACGTTCTAGGCAGTCCCGCTTGTTAAAAAAAAAAACAACGATAAACGTGATTCAGAGTTTAATTCATCTGCCTGCATTTTCTATCGCTTTCTAAGTGTCTAGCTGTCACTTTAATCGTATCAGTAGTGCAATGCCAGGGTCATATGAACACAGACATGACCATGAGGCCTGTTTATCCCCAGAAATCTGGACTCGACGGGACACATCTCATCTTATCTGAGCGAAATGTAGACGGAATTGGGTCGGAAGGTGTGACTCACAACAGAATCGTCTGATCGGTGATGGAGCTCGTGTAACGGACGGTTTATGATCGGGAGGCAGGCCAAAGGGATCAGAAAGACTGGCCGTCACCGGCGCGGCGGTCCGGCCCGTTCGACCCTCCGCAGGCAGAAGTGCCCGCTCCTCCAAACTCTGCACAATCGGCAAACATTCCCACGACGCTATCCGCTAAAACTCTGCATCCGTTAGGTACTGGGAAAATTCAGCCGATAGCGCGAATCTTTTCACTTTCGCTGGCCATGTGAGATGTCTGCTTTGTCTGCATGATGGTTTGGCCGAAAGATATTTTTACAAGATCACTATCAATATCAACTATGCCTTTGCTTACCTACATAAGAATATAAGATGTTAATCTTTGTAATCAACCCAGTGTATCCGCATGCATTCATGGCGACAACATTGCTATCCGAGTGTCAGAATAAATCATGTCGATTGCATCAACATATAGGTAAGCGAATCTGATTAAACCCGCAAATAAGACAACACAGCAAACATAATTATAGATGAATAGGTAAATACAAAGACCCTCAAATAAAAGGACGTGCACTTACATCCAGAACCAAAGGAATAGCACACCCAATCCAGCAAGTAAACAAGTGACCGCACATATACAACGTCCAACCAGCGTGACCTGTCTCCCCAATTACCTGTTGCTTCTGCCCGCAGTTGTACAGGGTGTTCCATAATGAATGTTCATTCTAAATAGGCTAAAAATCTAAGTAATTGTATTCATAACACATAGAGCGATATACCATTGTATTGGCGAAAGAATGGCTTTTCCTGTCGTGATGGCTTCAGACACTTGCATGATTTCAGTTTTTGGCACTGGCGCCGTTTCTGCGGAGGCAGATTTCGGCCCTCCTGCAGACATGCCGAACCGCCTGCCTGACGTCCTCTGGCTTTCAGCCCACGAGCAAATGCATCCAGGGTGTTTTGCAGTTCCAGAAGTGTAGTGGGAGGGTTGCGCCGTAATTCCGTAATGGTACGTTATGCTTTTCAGTTTTCCTTAAAACGGTACCCATACCTACGGCGGACCGCAGTTATGTTTCTCAGCCTACCATATTCTGCGACTGCCCAAACTGCCTCCACGCATCTGTGCATCGCATCTGTGCTGCTGACATCGCGGCAGATGGCGGCCATGAGACTGAATGCTTTGGGATAATTTTTGCACAGATAAAAAAGCCAATCTTTTTGCAACAATGCTCATATAAAATTATCGATCGTCGTTTTATTTATGATCCTCCAATGGTACATTTAAAATGAACACCCATTATGAAACACCCTGTATTTACAGTCAGCCGTTTGTCATTCGTGATCAGTTGGTGGTTTCATAGTGATTGATCACAACAGCACCAGCCGATTCAGAGGTAAGACAGTCCAGTCATGACCCATTTAACTACTTACATGCTACGAGCGAGCTTGCCTGTCATTGATTTATTAGCAACTTCGTAACGGTCTGCTGCCACCGTTAAAATAAAAAGTGAATATTTCACTTCGATTACACAATTAAAGATAAGCGAGAACTTCTGAAGAACTTCCACGTATATACGTTCGCACTTCAGACTCAGCCATAACCATCTCAATCTCTATCAGCTTTTTTTGTTGCAGCCTGTTGATATGTAATTGCGCGCTTTGCCGACCACATCTCCAAAAATCAAAGCCGTGATTATATCTCGGTACGTTACCGCTCTACCAACTAACTACGTCTCTCCCTGATGAGGCCACCGCGCGGCGTCACTCTACCTACCACTCCTACTAACGGTACACTTCTGACCACCAGATCGACCGGTGCTGCGGGCCCAAGCGCGGCAGACGGTCTGCGCTACTCCGGGCCCGGCCAACGGCAGACGGACGCGCTATAGACCTCCGTCACGGATGAGCGGAATCAACAGCGGTAGCAGCGACCACGAAGGCGAAGACGAAGGTAGTTTCAGTTCTACTGTAGCACATATTTGCTAGACGGCGAGTTGTTTAGGACGCCGAGACGGCACCACGGGAGACCAGCGGAAATGAGAGCCACAGAGAAGGTCGTTGATGCGATAGCAACAGCGGCAGTATGGAGCTCTTTGTGAGCTCGGTGGGCTGTGGCATTGGCCCGCTGTATATACCCTCGTCTCCTCTCAGTCTCCTCTGTGTTCTCAGGGCCAGGCGGGGATGGAGGCGGACCGGTAATCATGTTGGAGAGTGGAGACATAGACCGTGGGGACGGCGCGGGGACGGGTAAACCGGACCTTATACTGGACAGAATGGGCTGGAGCGTGCTGAGACGGAGACGGAACGTTATGAGACGATCCGTACGGTACGGTGCGGATCCGTACTAAGAAGGACAATACGGGCCTGAACTGGACAATACCGAACTGAACTGGAGGGGAGGGATGCCAACTGGCCGGCCAGGGACGCCCGGACACGACTGGGGGAGTGGGATGACTATAGAGAAGGTGGAATGGAGAGGAGGGCGGGGCAGGCGGGCAGATTACCGCAATGCGGTCACAGCGCTCGCTCGGTAAGACGGACGGCCAGACCGAAGGCCCGTCCGAGGACAGAGCAGAACAATGGCGTCTCGCTGCAGGGGGCTCCGCATTCGCCACTTTTTGTCGGTAAACGGCTGGCGCGGCAGACTGGCTGGCTGCCGCCGCGGCATGCATTCGGAACTCCGTCAGAGGCCCGCGACAAACAGACAGGCTTTGTATCCATCTCTCTCATATGTAGTAGCGGAACCGGGATCGGATGGCTAGAGTGAGCTCCGATACAAATCACAGCCCTTCGCGGCACAGTGATGCACCTAACAAATCTCGTCAAGGTTTCTTGTGGAAAATAAAATAACAAGCAACGATGCATGGCAGCAGTCTACTCCCCGACTCATCTATGTAAATCGACCGTAGCTCGTCTCGTTTGGTCCCGTCAAGCCCAACTCGCCGGCGTTGTTTGCCCTGGAAGCTGATGGCCACTTCCGTCCCTCCCTCCCACGACGGTCCTCTTCCTCAATAAACTCGCCGTTAGGGCCCCGAGCACTCACCATTCTCTGGTAGCGAGCGGCCTTGTGTCTGAAGTCGTCCGACCGCGCGTCTTCCAGCTCCGGGTGGTAAACGTCTCCGTGCAGAACGCGGAACTGTCCCGCGTACTGCATCTCGTCTGCGGACAGGTAAAACTTCCCGGTCACCGGCTTTGCACTTGCAATGAGAGATAACATCAACATTCAACAGCCTTAATTCAGATTTCGGGAAATGCGTAAAAGCTCTAATGCTTGACTATAGCGGCGTTTTAGGCTCCGCAAGGTAATTCAATGACCACTTGTGCTAGACGGAAATGGGAGGCCCGTTAAATGGCTTTATGGAGCTCCAAAAAGAGATGCGACGAGCTCTCAGCATACAACTCCGATAAATGACGGCTACGGCTCTCAGGAAACAAGATGCCATTGTATTACTTTGTTTGGTGCACTGAGACAAAGATGTTTAGGGAATTTGAGACACAAATTGGGAGTGATCGGGAATGGCCTTCTAGCAAGAACATTAGGCAACCATGCCACCAGTTGTTACCCGCCCATTGTTTCGTTTTTGTTACTCCTGTCGGCCTGCTAATCGATACTCACATTGTAAAGCTTGTTTATCCTCCTTGGTCGCGACTGAAAACAAACACATTTCAATCAGTTTTACTCAAACGAAACTACAAACACCTTATAATAAAGTCGAACGAACCAGCGAAATTCATCGATACCGTAATACATTCATGTCTAACTATATTTTTAGTGAAACAAAATATTGAAACCAATTCATGTTTACAAATTAGGTACAACATAGCAATTATATGCAAATCTGCAATGAATAGAGCTTAATACAACGTTGTACCAAACAATTCAAATAACGCCTAACTACGACGTCGCAGAAAAACAGCTGCTTACCTCCGAGGTAGGCGGCGACGGACACGATGCCTATGACGGCCACGATGACGGCGACTATGGACATGCTGAGACAGAGGCCTCCGTAGGAGCGGTGCGTGTACTTCCGGCCCGACTGGAAGTAGAGCTGCAAAACACAGAGAGTTAAGTCAGCACAAAGAGCTTTGGCAGCCCACGGGGCTGTGTCAGCCCACCCCAGCAGAGTTGTGTCAGCCTATCAGATTTTGTCAGCCAGTTACACAGTTGTGTGCACCAGCACTCAGCAGAGCTGTCAGTCTGTCCTACAGAACTGTCATTTAGCTACGCTGCACTACCGCCGTTCGGCCCGCGGTCGAGACGTCAAGGCTCGACGAGACAATCACACGGAACATGTGGTTACTCTAGCACGTGATAGTTGGCACTTAGCAGGCCACTGCACTGCTTGACACAGGAAATAATAAAAATGCGGCAACTTAATTACTGATGCCCTTGAGTAAGTGCGAATACAACGGCGGAAAGGTTATATCGATGGTAATCAACAGAAGCCCACGGGTGACCTTCGGCGGTCGCGGATCAAGGAATGCAACTTCCGCGAAAGGGTGTGTGCCAGCTTTCTACCCTGCTCCGTCCCACCCTGGTCACTGTGATGAGGAAACGTCAGCGTTCCACCCCCGAATGACTCGCAACCAGGAACTAACGATGCATCCCACTGACTGAATAAACGTTTCGGGGGAGAGATGTTGTTAAAACCCTGAGCTCTGATGATAAAGGTGTTTTCAATCGGAAACAGCATTAACGACATTCGAGGCGAACTGGAATGGTCCTTTTAGGTGACCTGACATCACCTGGGTCACTTACGAGATGATCCTCGAATTTCGTTATAACACCTACTACCAGTAGCGTGACCTCCATGACCTGGCGATCTTGGTGACCGGGTCGTTACCCGGTGACCCTTGCAACATTCATGATCCAGCTGACCTTAGTGACCTCCGCGATCTGTGACTTCTCCGACTATGTGATCTGTGATCCATGTGACCCCTGTGACTTCAGTAATCTTTGTGACCTCTGTAGTCCTCACCTCGGGCGACTCGCTGGAGAAGGAGACCTCCCTGGATCGACGCCGGTGGCTGCTGCGAGCCCGCGCCGGCCTCGGGTGCACATGTCGCCGGATATACTCGTCCGGCGTGACATAGGTCAGGCTGCCGCCACTCGCCTGCAACGCAAATCAGCAGAAAACAGTCAATGACCCAGCCAGAACGGAGCATAACTAAGCGGTGTAACATGTATCGCGCATCGTTCAATTTTGCAAACATGAGAATGTGTATGCTTTGCACATTTACTAAAGATAATAATGGTAAGATATGAAGTGCAAACAATATTGAGACAAAAAATCGGTACCTACGCCATTTCAGTTTGCGGTCCAATTATCAGATTAATCGTCAACCAACAATCCCCGAACAATGGTTGGATCATGACACAGCATAGCTTATAAGTACCACAACGTCCTGTTATGACAGCACAATCTGTTTCGGTTTTTCCTCCGTAACCACACAGCTGAAGTGAACGTGACGCATTCCGGGGTCATCCCGCGTCACTCCCGCTGCCTTTGTGCCCCGCTGAACAATGTTGCTGGCTGATGTCTGTACTGGGCGACTTACCGGCGCGGTGTGTCGGGAGTGGACGGTCCGGCCAGGGTCACCGTTTGTCCAGAGGAGAGCCACTACCGCCCCGGACTGGCTTGACCTTCCTTCCCGGGCTCCGGAGGGTGTGCTGGTCCCGGTAAGGGGACAGGGAAGGGCTAACCTGGGGTGTGGCGCGGGGAAGGGACAGGGATGTGGTGGGTCCGCAGGAGGACGGGAAGGGTCAAGTCCGGCTAGTGCGGTGGTTCCACTTCCAGGAACAGGGTAGGTAAGGGGCTGGCCAGGGCTGTGGTGGACTTGGGGAGGGGACAGGGAAGGGGACGGGGTGTGGTGATCCCGGTGTAGGGGGGATGGCCCGGGTTGTGGTCCTCGAGGACAGGGTAAAGGAAAACCTGCTGGAAGTTCCGGGAAAGGAACGGGGGGAGGGGGTGGCTCGCACCGGTCGGGCCACTGTGGTTGTTGAAGCCACAGCAAGTGTCCCTTGTACCGCCGCATCCGCCGGGTGGGGCAGCATGCGACCGGAACCGCGAGGATTGACCACATAAGAGGGCGGCAGAGGATAGTTTTTGTTCGAGGGCAGGTCATAATGTATATGCTTATTAATTTCCAACACTTAAAATCGAAATGGCATTGCTGTTTTTTTATCAAAAATAATTTCTGCATACGGATGGTAACACTTTGTAATTGACGTTAATATACCGCTAACATAAGCCGACAAAGCATTCCTAGGAAAAAAGGCTCCATCCATTGACTTATCAAAGCCATATTCCACTGCCGGTAAGTCTCGGTAGCACTAACTACCTGTCGGATTAAACAGGTACTGCCGCTTAGCTAGACAGTTCGAATATCTGATTTTGTGATTGGTATTGTATCGAATAGACAGCATGTTCGTTAGCAAGGCCGCCGATTATAATTTGTTGCCAAGGACAACTGAAGTCTGTCTTCGAAGTTCAAGGATTAGACAGAGAGAGTTCATTGGCTGAAAATAAGGGGTTCGTGAAAAATAATTATTTCTTACTGACATGCTTGTCTGAATTGCAAGCGCATTGATTTATGGTCGCATTCTACTCTCCGAAATTCCGGGAAGATGATCTGCTTAGTAAACGGCGTAAACACTGATTGGGCGGCTTTCAAACCCAATGAAATCACCACTGCAATTCAAGCAAAGGGCCTGAAAAGTGCGCTACGTTCTTACACGTAACTATACCAGTCTGATTTGCGAGTAGAAAACGGAATGCCCCGTTCCAGTATAGAAAGCTTATTGTTTAGGCATGTCAATGTTTCAGAGAAGGAATCGACTGTGGAAAAGGAAAGGAAAATCGCCACAGTATGGTCGCTATCGTGATTCGTGTTGTGTCCGTCGTTGTGTCGTGTGGCCTCGCGTAGTGTCGGGTCAATGTGTCACGTGGTCTCAGGTCAAAGCGGGTCGTCACACACCACAACAGCCTTCCATCTAGCGTCAACAATTTCCCGCCGTCATCCACCGTCTAACCATTCACAACAGCTTACAAGGCACCAATCAACAATGGTCCGTAAAGCACTGCCGAGGCTCAATCAAATCCAGCGTCTTTAATTGATTCCACGGAGTCACGCGGTCAAGGGCAGCCGTCTTCTCCCTCGCACGTCCCGCATTCCTCGCCACAGGCTCAGACTTTGCCGCCGCGGCGCAGACGAGGGGCGAACAGATCGGTGACGCCCCTCGCCCGGTATCCGCCCGCTGCATCTTTGTCTCTTCATGGTCAAACTCCTCGCTGCAGCGGCCACGGAGCAGCGAGTCGTCACTGCAATTGCGACAATGCAGCGGCGGCGACAGTGAGTGCACGATCGGCGATACCACAACAGCGACACAGCGGCAATAGTCGCCGACGACCGAGCTGCGATTTACTGATTTTCTCACGGCGAGCGCGACTGGCCGGAATTCGGGCAGCAGCTGGACGGCGGCCAGTGACCGCAGCAGGACCTGGCAGCTGACCGGAGCGGGGCCAAGCGAGACCGGGAAGGTCACGAAAGTAGGAGGAGGGGGGGGGGGGCGGCGCGGCGGATTTTTGCCGGTCGCCGCTCGCCGGGGGAGAAAGTACGGCCGGGTGCAGAGGCCAGCCTGGCCTTGGCGATTGTTGAGTCGCCACCGCCGCCTCTGAGTGTGCTGCGGTTAGTGAGGGGACGGTAAGCCCCGGAGCCCGCTATCCTGCACGGCCCAGTCTGCAGTGGTAGACGGCTGGGGAATGACATGAAAGCACAAATTGAACCGATGTCGAATTAAGGCGGTGACTTATCAGATGCACGGTGAAGGGTCACGCGGAAAGTGCGGCACTTCAATGGGGTGATGCGGTTGTCGAAAGGAAGACCGAGCCCAGAAACGGCCACGAAATTGAGACAAACATGCATTTCTTGGAGTGAACGTGCAAGCCAATCGTGCATATCACGAATATCTGTGGAGGAAAACATTGTAGCATAAACAAGAATCGTGCTCAAAATTATGCATTGGGTCAGCAATTAAAGAAAAAAGCGTTTTCTGGTATTCGAATGCCAAAGTAGGGCCAAAAACAATCCTCACGTCACAACATATTTAGTCCCGTTTCATATTTCATCAATGAGAACCACACGAGCGCCTTTCACGAGAGACAAATGGCACGATCTTTTTAGAAGTAAGGACATACCATTCAACTCTTTTGCTGTCGTGAAGTGTGCTGATCGGGTGCAATGGCCATGAGCTAAAGCATGTCATGACATAGGTATCGCCCGAATCCTAATTCCTTTAACCGGGCAGGCCTTCCGCTAATACGGCAAAAAGTGAATACATAAGGTGCCATAGAGGCGAAAGGAAAACGTGCGATAAATTGATTCGTGCAAATTTGCTGCCTATGCCATTATGCATACTTTTTCCTCACGGATAGCCTTGCCTTGCCCAAAAAAAGAAATAAGAAAAGGACACGCAATGACGGTTTGGAAGAGAATATACGACTGAAGAAAAGTACAGCTACTCTCAGTCATGGCATAACGGTCGAATACCACACTAAATCCTTGAGGATTTGCTTTTTAGAACTATCCTTCTTATTTCCCATGAAAAAGAATGTAGTTCGAAATTCATCCGACGGTAGATAACAATCAAGTTTTTAGATATTATCACACACAGCTAATTGTGTCGCATGTGGCATTGGTGTTTGACGGGGTGGAAAATTGCTCTATATGGGCGTGGTCTGTAGTCGCCACGCGAGGCCCTCGCCCGGCCGGTCGGCCAGGCGTGACCTCACAGTAGCTGGGCTATGGCCGTGGCTCCCCGTGCCCGAGTACACGGCCCGCGAGTCAGTCGGCCGAGTGTGACCAAGTGGCGGCCAGCCTCGACCCACAGCACGCTGCTCTGGTTTACTCTGTTTATCATGTGTCAGCGGACAACAAATAGGTCGCTACGGGATGCTTTGGAAGAGTTACAGCTGTAAGCTGTTATGCTGACCAGTAAGCCTTCAGGTTGAATTCAATTGTTGCAAACTGAAGCCCAAAAATATCGCATATGCGGGATTCCATTTCATTTAGAAAAGCATACGGTTGCTTTTTTAATTGCAGACAGTGCTTCCGTGCTCAGAAGCACAAATGCCCAATCCATTTCAAATGTTTCTCTTAGTTATGCAAAAGGCATTCCTTTCAACGTCCGCCATTAAAATCTGCACCACTCGGCCATCACTGCCACTCGGCTCCCATTTACGACCCAGCCAGGCATACCGCGATCGTGACATGCAGCACATTGACATATCCTGCCGGCTGGCGTTTTTACCGCTCCGAGGCGACCCGGCAGGCGACGCGCTGTTTTTCCCCGAGCCATCGTATGCACCCGGCCATCAGCCGTGCCCTTGGCCTGCGCGGTGGGCCGCACCGCGAGTTCCTAGGCCTACTGAGTGAGTGTCCAGACTCAGAGTACTGGCTATAGCCCGTCAGTTCCACCATGGTACTGGCTATAGGCTATGCGGCTAAGCCGCGAGCGTTTCGAGTGAGTTCATAGAATGTCAGTCACGTCACGGATGCTTTCCAGACATGGAGTGACCTCCCTCGAGTGTCGACCGGGCCGTGAGTGTCCCTTCCCGAGTGCTCGCCGGGCCGTGAGTGCCCCAAATGCCGTCTGACCATCAACTGACCCGGCGGTTGCGGAACGACGTCGCAGAGTCACCGGACTCGACCCGTCTGCAATGACTGAGGGGGATGGGACGAGGGAGAGGGAGAGGAGGCACGCGTCGGGAAATATGAGAGATGTAACTTGATAACCATCATTTAGGGGCCGTGAGAGAGACTGCGTGTGAGACCTTGGAAAGTGCCGTGAGAAACGGGCAACTGTGTGAGAACTGGGAACAAAATAGCATTTTAGTGATCCAAATACTTTTGTGAGAAATATTTTATATAATGTTCCTCAGGGTGGTGTTGTATACCAGGCGGTTGACTGGACCCTTCAGGAAGCTCTGAATCGCTAGTGCGCTCGGAAGCGCCGATCATGATACGCACGGTGCACAAACACCGGCTAGTCACTTTTCCGAGACGCAGAGACGCGCGGCTCCGGAAGGATGGTCGCTGACACAGTGACACAGTGACACTGACACGGTGACACAGTGATACAATGACACGGTGCCGCATGATGCGTGGCAGCTAGGGCGGAGATACGGAAGGAACATTGCAATATTTGAATTTATTTTTGGCAAAGAATAATGTGCCCCTTTGCCGTGATCACAATTCGCAAATTGCCGTTAGAAGTAGGTAGATGTTCTTAAATTTAATGTATACGTTAAACAAAGTCATTTACAGGCTACACAACTAAGTTTGATCGTGTAATGAGCAGCTACATGCATGAAACGTTCTCGGCTTTTTGATACCTAATGGCCCAGGTAGGGCCATTTTTTAATTCACTTTACGTGCCAATGAGGAAAATGAAACTGCGTGCCTTCTGTACCCGAGCCAAACTCAAGCAAACATGCTATAGGTAGGTGTTCGGCGATTCTCAAATTGGGAAGTTGATTAAAAAAACTGCACGTCATGTCTTCACCAAGTAGGTAAAAGGTAAACATGGACTAAAGGTAGCAGGGCGACATCATTAAATCAGTCAGTGAGGTTTAAATCCAAAATTGCCTTTGACGACAGAGGCGCTAATGGTCATCACCAGTCACACCACAGATTCGACCACTCAGTCTCCCTACCCCACAATCAAACCATCCGTGGGTCCCGTTTACCTTGCGCCTCATGGCCGAGTTGCCTCTCCAGCAGTTGTCAGGGCGCTCACATGGCCACACCAGGCCAATCACAGTCTCACTAACACGTCAGAGCTCGGGCGGGGGCGGGGCGGCGCGGCCGGCGGCGGGCGGTCGAGGGCGGCAACTGTCTGCCCTCGGCCGTCGGACCCGCCGTCGGGCCGTCAGCCGCCACGCGCCGTCGAGCCGGGAGCGGCCGACGCGCGCTCAGGAGGAACGCAGAGCGGTGGCGGACGCCGCGGCGCCTCTCCGCCGTGGGAGTGGCCGAGCATGAACTGGGCCATCCCCGTTCTCATCCTGACCGACGGCCCTGGAGGCACGGCCGAGCGCGTGATGCGTGTCGTCGCAGTGAGCCGCGGGATACAGACGGATAGGTAAATGTGACGACCGGGACGATGGACTAGGAGATAGCTGCCTGTTGTCGCACGCCGTAATGGGTGGGTGGATTGGGTGTGATACCAGCCGTGAATGTAAGAAATGCATGTGAACATACTGAGGTGTGTGGCATCGAGAGGTGTGTGGGAGATCGCCGAAGCCGGCAAAGTGTGACATGCAACACTCATGCCGTCAGTTTCAAAACATTCTCAGGAAGCCAGTTAACTACCCACGGAGGCACGGATGTGCCTGTCATGTTCCCCCAGGAAGCGGGCAGTGGAGTTAGTAAACGGAGGTGGTCGGAACTGACTACGTCCGGTCACGACACCGGCTGCCCCGCCCCCTCCTGCCCCGTGAGTCGTGACCTCACGCAGGGTCACGCAGGGGGCGCCAGGGTCACGTATCTACGACAGGGTCACGTCAGGGCCAGAGATGTCACGGGCCCGTCAGAACTGCCGTCCGCTGGAACGGACTGTCAGCTGCCATAATGATACATGTCTATTGTCTATTGTCTAGAGAGTATCGAGTCGCGTGCCTTCATAAACATAAGTAAGCCAAGAGAAATGGTGAATTAGAATCAAAATAGTAATGTTGGAGGTGGGGTACTGTTTTCATTACCTTGATCTGGTATCTGTGCCCAAACTCGTTCACATCAAATGGCGGTTCAATTCGTTTTCTGGACAAACATCATACGTGCGTATCATTATTTCCATCCTTTCAGTGAACAGGGAAAGGGATTGAAACAAAAGTTGTGCGTTTCTATCATCCAAAATGATTGATGTGGAATAACGTTTGGAATTATATGCTCGTGGAATGAGATAAAAAGCTAAGTCCAGGCTGCACGCACGATATGACCTTCATTGTCGATCACTGTGCATCTCAATGAAATTAATAAAGCACTTATAGTTAAGTTACCGGTGTCGTATACTTTAGACAGAGAGTTTTCGTCACGAAGCAGAAATTCAGATGGCGTGCAAGCTCGGTGTCCTTTCGAGATACCTCCGATCACAATTTGCATGTCTGGTTTTGTTATCGCAAACAGCTGTGTCGCAACGCTCGGGCGCACGCTTTGAGATAAGAGCTTGCGATGAAGTTACGCATTGTGTGTACGAATGTGAAACACAAAAGGTTTGAACAGTTGAACACTTATCAGCGTACGCTACCACTGGAATGCTATGCAGAACGCAGTAAATAATAGTGGCTTTTGGGTAAACTACAGGCAAGTGAATGCTTCCTCGGATCACGGATGGCCAGCCGCTTTGACCGAAGGGCGGGGGGTATCCTGCACAAAGAGTCGGCATCAGTAATTTCCCTTGAACTTCTTATAGCAAGCTGATTATATTCCATCACCACCACTAATGGATGATATATGCATCGCGGGCCCGATACCTATCTCATAAACCTCCCATTTTTAAAGCGTATGGTGACACCAGCACTTAAGTCTTCCGCATACCTGTCATCTTATACGCAACCATACCTACCACCCATACTAGACTACGCACTCATTTTCGTGTTAGGGCAGCGGGGCGTTAAACACCATCACTGCGCCCGGCCTTCCACCTGAAAGGTGCCGCCTCGATCCCTCCCGGTGGGCCGACAAAGCCCCCTGACGAGCTGGTGGCCCGGCTTCCTCCGGCCACGCCCAACGGACGGCCTCTGTCCCCGACCCCGCCCCGCCCCGCCCGGCCCCGCCTGGCCCGGTAGGCCACGGTCCCAGTGAACAGCGGCCCGCGCGGTGGTGTACCGTCACTGCCCTCCCCTCTGCCCCCACCCCACCCGCCCAGTTACGGAGACAAATCTAACCATGGGACGTCCCATTCTGCATCGGCTGGCCATTGTTGATCATTGCTTCCCAAGTTAGGTTGGAGATTCTTGAAGATGATAGAAGAGAGGTTAGAACCCCGCATGGTGCTGATATAGATAAAAATTGTTTTTGGTACCTATTCCTATTTGTGTCGGTTTACCAGCCCAGAAAAAAAAAATAGGGGATAAGGGGCGAAAGAGCCTCTCCAAGTGATCTCCCGGACTGACCGTTGGCCTTGCCCCAGCAACGGTCCGTAACAAACCATGGCGGTACTGCGACATCATGAGGCTCCTGATCGCTGACTAGTGTCATCACAACAGGTTTCCCGCGCGGGCAGCCGCGGCCGGGCGGCCACAGGCTGCAGGGGCAGGTGCAGCCCATTCGCAGAACTTACCGTTCCTTTGCTGTCGCTGTCGGACGCCGTCGGCGATCCATGGGTAGAATCCTGGGAGGAATTATGGGCCGAATTCTGACCGGACTCTTCTGCGGACTCCTGCGCCGAGTCGTGTGTCGACTCCTGCGCAGAGTCCTGACCCGACTCCTGCCCGGACTCGTGTGTGGAGTCATGTGATGACCCGGGCGCCGCGGAGAGACGCACACTCATCGGCAGCCTGACCCGCGAGTTGAGCGCCTGGGTGGCCGGTGCGGCGGCCGTCGCCCGCTGACCCGGCCCGGCGGCCGCCGAGCGCGCCAGACTGTCGCTGCTCTGGTCCGTGGCCGGGTCACTGGTGTCACTCTCCGGGTCAGAGGAGGTCACCATTTGACCCTCGGGTCGCGGCACGGCGCCGGCGGCCGCGCGGCTCGCCGGGGTGGAGCTCCCCTGGCTCGGCGCCGTCAGTTCCGTGAGTACAGCCATGCGTTCGAGCTCACGCGTCTATCACACGGGTTCACGGCCACGCCAGGTCCTCTGCCGGTCTCGTCCGGCGTCTGCAATTATCCGATGTCCTTCGCCGCTTCTCACGACCACGCGCGGAGAGCAGCTGCAGCCTTCCCAGCGTCCCGGGAGCCTCCCGTCGCTGCGGGGCCTCAGACCCGGGAGATGGGGCGGAGAAGATCGGCCCTGAGGCCGGACGGGCGCCGTGCAGAGCCCATGGCTCAGACCTGGACACAGAGGGCCACAGTAAGATTCTGGACACAAACACAGGGTCAAATTTAGCATTCTGAACACAAGGACACACTCAGTCTCCACTGCCGTCCAACACTACATCCCCACGGGCGTGTCGCAACCCCGGGCGGCCCGGTACGATATTATTCACGGCCGTGTGTGGTGGCCTGTGCGGTAACCCATGCGCGCCGACCGCCGGTTTAAGCAGGCGAGCACGCAATGCCGGCCGGCTGGCAGTGACCGTGAGTCGCCTTGATCTCGGTCAGTGGTCACAAGCCGACGGCTGCGGCCGGCCGGCCGGTCGGACCGACAGGTGGTCACGGGCCGGGCCGGCACAGTGTGCAGGTACGCGGTGAGAACGCGGGGTGGATTTGGGTGAGCTGGAACTGTTATGAGGTGCCATGGGAATGGAATGGGCTTGCCTTGTGACGTGTGAAGGATACTGGGCAAGAGGCTCGTTTTATGTCAAACTGAGGCTTGTAGATTTTGATTGGCATTGTAGGGATATAAAGTGACGACAAATCAAATGAACTTAAATTGTCGAACACAAGCGCAATTCAAGCAAGTTCCACGGTTGACCGAGCGCCCAGCTCGATAGTATTCACGACATTACCTAATGTCGCTAACTCCCTACTGATAAAGGCATGCACAGAGTGAGATATTACAGGCCAGTGAGACCGAGTGATCCGACAACAGCCGACGGTCGTGGTAGTTTGGCAACCCGTGCTTTCATGAAATACCAAGCAGCGAACAGAGGATGCATCCCATTACACGTCGAAACGACACGTTCCCATTGCCTTTCCCATTTATATCAATACGTCTATGAAATAATAATAATGCATCCCATTGTCGTCTGGAGATATGCGCCGGGTACCCGCCCAGTTAAGCATTTATTATTTGTTCACCTTAGCAAACAATATACCAGTCGACTGTATAGACGTTCACGAGTAAAACTCCAATATTAATGTAATAAATGCAAGCTACAGCACATGCTATCATATTGAATCTTAATTCCAAGGTAAAATGTAGCTGAAAACTGATACATTTATCTATATAAAGCACCACACGAGCAAAGTTAAAACAAGTTCTGGTTGCCTACCCGTGCTTGTCCCGTACGCGAGTTACCTAAGTGTGGAACTACCCAGCGCCGAGCCGGCCGGATGACGTCACACCACGGCCAGTGCCGGCGCAGCGGCAGACTGGCCGAGATTGGCATGGTCTTAACTTGGCGAAGAGGCATCCAACGCCAAACTTCTGCTGCAGCTATAAATCACATTTCATGTGTTTTTTCCATGTGTATGAGCTATTAAGTCCTTCGAATACCTAATGTGTAAGTGAGCATGCCTGCATTTAGCAGTGTGTGCTATGCTATGTGGATTGAAAACTGGGGGCACATCCGACACACTGCGCAATGGATTCCGATATTGCTTGGCTGATTCTGGCTTTGTGTCTTCGCACGAACCATTGAAAGGGAGGACGTCATTTTTAAAGGTTGTCAGGTGCACTCAAACGTTTTAATAAGCAACTGCTGATTGAATTTCTGGCGAGGGGTGGTGGAACGTTCTGTTCACAAATGAGTATCTACCTACCTAGTGCCTACCTGCATTGGCAAATAACTTGGTCGCGACTCGCGGTCAATTAGGCATGATTCACGAAGTCCCTTATCTTTTATTAGACTTATTAAGCCCAATGTGCAATATTTGCGTCTTTTCGCGTTGCATCGGGTAGCAAATGAGAAAATCTGCCTCTTCTCCACAGCCCTCAATTCAAGAAACCGTCCTTTTCCTTATCACACCATTCCATAACATAATTTTCAAACATGGGTATCCTCCCCACAAAAAAAAAAACTGAAGCAGTTTCCTTCGGCTCCAATGCGCCGCTCGCCCAGGGAGACGGAAGTGTTATATTCTCGGCGGTCCAGTCTGCATTCTGCAGCACAATTAAACTTGGCGGACCCCCAGCGCACGACTGAACGATTCGTATTGTTGCGAGTGACTGTG